TAATTTAGGTTAAAGGTTAGTAGATGTTAGTAGGTGAGTAACCTTCTTCTCACATTTGCCAAGGTGATGATGGCAACTATTAGACGTGTTGTCTCAGAAACTAGCCTAATTGATCTTGTTTTAACTTCACAGTGACGTGTTTTCATTCGACGAACTCGGTATAAATTGCTGTACACTCGGTGGTTTACGATATTCCTAAATCACCGACGTAGACCTCACTGAGGTAGGTATTCACTAAAACGGTATTGATATGCACCAAGCACTTAGCGTAGTGTTAGTGTGCTTAAAAAAAAGTCCATAAGATAAGCGTATTATTGATATTTGATTAGACATGACTTTCACGTTTCGATGTTGCTTTTTATTTGAAACTATTACATGATAAAATGTTATTTCTTATATGTATTCAACAGAATTTCTAGTTATGTCAAATCATAACCATATTTTTTGACACAACAAGAGTATTATGAATCTTTCTTTTTGTATTATATATATATATATATATTATGCATGGTTGTTCTGTTTAGGATAATATGAGGAGCACATCCATTGCCCTGATGTTGGTTCTGGCAGGCATAGTTACAGGAGTAGATCTGATGCACGGAAAGCAATTGATTGCTATCAATATACAAATCTTGGAAGAAACTGATGATTTGTCGGATGCAACAAATACAGGAGACACAACCAAAAAAGCTGGAAATTACCGAAGAATACACAAGAGATCTCCGTGGTTACCAGTAGGTATCCATTCATGGAAACTAAGTTTTATCGTAAAAGAAGAGGACAACAAAACGAAGCCTACTGAAGAGGAGAACAAGGGAGCTAATAAAAATGGAAAATTGCCATTTCGTTATGGAAAATGATGGATTTTGTACCGTGGAATTTTAATGATGTGTGATGGGGACGGAACGATATTTGGCAATAAAATTGGCCAAACGGTATGTTAGTGTAATTGATATTTCCTGTCTGGACTTTCGGAGATACGATTTGTTGTTAATCTTGTACGTTTTCAGCCATTACAAAGTAATTCTGTTATGTAGCTTATTTTATTCGTCTGCAATTAGTATTAAATGTAAGCATAAACTTATTGTTATGTCATTTTTTAAGATGTTTATTAAGATTGTACCGAAGAAATGCTTCATTTACTAGGTCATCTGGCTCGAAGTGTCAAGATGACCTATTGCTATCTCGCATCGTCTGTAATCTTTTCCTTTAAGACAATAAACCTGCTTAACACAAACTTTCAACCAAGTTTTGGTTGATACAGTATTGGAGGTGGGAAGATGTTTCCCGTAGGGGCATGTGGATAGGTGCCGGAAATGGTAGTTTCACAACACTTAAAATTCTTGATTTGACCCTAGGGACAAAGGCGCGGGACTTCAAATGAGAAAATTAGTCAATATCTTGCTTCAAAACGCTGTTCTTCATTTATTCTTGAATTGATTTTAACCTTATGTGATCTGAATCAGCATTGCATGTGGGTTGTCATTTCTTAAATTCAGATGTTGATTCGACCCCCTGAGGCCGCAAATTTTCACACCATTGATTTGTTACCCTGATCAAAAGTTCAACATTGTAACCGCACTAATTATTTTTTTTATATGACTGCGCAAGTGTTTTCCTGAACAAAGGTATGAGTTTCTGATATTTTAAAGGAATGTTAAACATTTCATTTCATCAGATTTGTCAGACCAACATCAGCAAAATCTGTGTTTGTCCATCCATTCAAGGATTGTCAGATGACCGTTAAGGACCACGGCCCCCTTGTCACATTTTGAAAATGAAATATAGGAATTTATCAATTTAATAAAACATTCATAAAAGTATAGAAATTCTCCAATTTGAAAAAAATAGAACATCTAGTGATTATCTAATGATAACGAAACTAAAAAAGAAAGCATAAAAAACAACTTTTTAGATTTTAGAAAGGAAAAAAAAATATTAAAATTATTCATAACTCTTTATTGATTGATGGTAAAAGTCATCTTAATTCAAATAAAGTCATGTCAAAATTTCTATAAAACTGATATGAAATAAATTGAATTGAAAAAATCGTAAACAAAAACACAAAATTGCACATTTGATACAATAACAACAGTAGCAGTTTGAGGTCACAATGATTTATTCTATGGACAATTTGTACGATTACAGGAGAATTTCGTGAATAAAGTGTTCTTAACGACGAAATGGGACATTTTGCTTGCAAAGCAACACAATGTTTTCAGGGCTCATGTTGGATTCAGATAAAATGTCATTGCAAAAAAAGAGAAATATATATAAATACCCGATTTACATTCAAAACACTTTCCGGCATATTGTTTCTTTTCATCAATGCTGTATCAAAGCAAGGGACATGCTTCTGACCGTCTGTATAAATACAGAGAACCTGAAATAGGAGTAAGCATTTAATGATCTTTAAAGAACAATTCATTGTCGATTACACCAGAATAATATGTATTTTCTTCTTACATAGTGATGTTACCATATGGTTCATTCACCTGTCAATACAACATAGAGAAAATGTACTTTAAATTATACAATTGAGAGCGCAAAGATGCACAGGAATGTTTGTATTAGATATAAACTACTTAACGCCAATGGGAGTGAGTGGTTTTAAAGTGGCAAAAGTTATTATGAATATATTAAGATATTCATCGTCAGGAACTTCTGTGCTAAATGTAGATCTTATTCATCAATATTATGCATCATCAGCTTACATTTCGACACATCTATACTGTTTATTCGTGTCATTATATCTAGTGATATCGTGAAAAATATTTCCATATCAATTTTTTTTAAACACTGCTGTTCGAAGAGGAATTTACTGAAAATTGACATGAAATCATTATGATGATTACAGATGGTAAGTATGTTTTAGATTTTGTTAGTTCTCTCCCTTTTTATAAAATAATGTTTTGTTTCGTATGATTCACCTTAAAAAATTGAATATGGTGGAAGCATAGTCCTTTAAATGATATGATCGTCGTTCGCGTAGTTTTGGTTTTCGAGCACCTACAGCGAGCTCTCGCGATTCTGTTTACCTTAAACCTATTTCCGGATTTAGTCGCAATATAGATATTGACGAAGGCATCTCATTGACACACATGTCATTGGCTATTGGGGCGTTTAACACATGAAATATTAAATATACAGCTGAGAAATAAACAATGACAAGTACAACTAACAAGTAATTAATATTTTCATATTACTGTATCAAAAATGCCAGCGATACTCGCCTCAGTGTTTATAGAAGGTAAATATTTTTAGCGTATTCATATAAACTTAAATGTATGGCGATTACAGCATCAATACTTTGTATTTGTAAAATGATAATACATTTTTTTATTAATGGTATGTAAATGTGTATACAATCATCAAAATATCTCCCGTATGACGCCGTTTTCACGGCACATGTAAATGAGTCCCAAAGAGTGGCTCAAGTTTGGTTTTATACACGACTGAGTGTAGCCTAATCTATACATCCTTGTGCACTAGCAGTGTTCAAACTACTAGCTCACAAGAATAAGACTACAGGTAATACCGATTACATCTACTACAACTGTACTAGAATACGGACAGGTAATGAGAGACTATCCCTAATTTATAATGGGCATGCTCAATAGCCACTGATCAATCTGATAAGTTTCCACAAATCTTCAGCTATGAAATAATTGCAGGATGACCCAATTTTTTAACTGTTATATTTGAAAATTTCCACTGATCACTGGTAATCTCTGACCAGCCTTTGAACAACAATGGCAATTTGTTACAGTCCAAGGTTATCTGTGATTTAAATGCACAACTGTAGCGATACTTCACATATACATCTTTTGTATATTTTTACCAATAGAATATTATTATCAAAATGAAAGTAATGCATCTTTGCATATAGGAAAACAGTGAAGTCGATTACACGTCTTTATATGACTATATGAGTGTTTTTTTGAGTGTAAATGTCTTTATATTATTTTACTACTAAAATGAAACCATAATCCTTGACTATAATTTAACTTATTTACAATGAATATTTTCCTGACAGTGGCAAAACAATAAAATATTTAAATGTTGGCGTAACGATTGTTTGGTTAGTTATATTTCCCTTAAAGCTAACTTATTTTAATAAAACTACAATATTCGTTTTTTAAATCCTTCACACAATATTTTACCCTTTTCTTACTTATAACTGACAATTGTCTGAAACACAACAACAGTCACGTTTATGATCAGCTTGAAGCTTTCTCATATGTGCTATAATTGTATACATGTATATCACACATTTTGCACTGTTGAAATGCCAGTTATTAAGAGATGTGATACATTCAAATACCCTGACTTACAAGATATAATTGTTCTTTTTCTGCGGGTTTCCTTATATTTAAAAAACAAAAACTTAATTAAACCAGTAATAATTGTAATGCGTGTACAGGTGAAAACTGACTAGGAGGTATTGACAAATCCACAGTGTCAACCCTTTGTTTGATCAATAACCCCCTACCTAGGATCATCACGCCCGCGTGTTCACACTTTAAGTAAAAACGATATGGTGCGAATCATGATAAAGTAAAACCTCAAGTCTGCAAGCAGGCGTGTCAAGAAGAAGGAGTGTCAAGAAGGTGATTGTGAAATATCGTCAAAATCTTGTACATTTTAACCTAATGACAGGGTCACTGGTCTCTTGCTACTGGTGTGGACTTATATTCACATGCATGTTAGCCCTCCTGTGGTTACTAGATAAACTGATTCACTATAATCACATGTGCACGTGGTATGACCTTACCCTTGTCAATATTTTTTCAGACTCCTCCAACGTCTGGTCGGTTTCCTTTCTTAATTACTGTGTTATCGGCTAATTATTATTATTATTATTATTATTATTACATTTTTAACGGCCCGTCAACACAAAAAAGGTCATAAGGGCCATCAAACGGTAAAACGCGCAATGATCCAAAAGGAAATTACATTAAACAAACCAAAAGGTTAAAGACAAATGTTAAAAATCTTAAATGGGTATAGGAATAGAGAAATCCAATACCACACCCTACCATCCGATGGGAAACGGCCTCTGTGAGAGGTTCAACCGTACTCTACTAGGAATGTTGGGCACATTATCCGAAGATAAGAAGCAAGATTGGAAAGCTCATGTCGGTCCCCTAGTTCATGCCTACAATTGTACTCGGCAGGAATCGACTGGGTTCACACCCTACTTCCTTATGTTCGGGCGAAACCCAAGATTACCCATTGACTTAGCCTTTGGAGTAGACAACACCGGAGTTTCCTCACGGTCTATGACAACTTACGTCGATTCGTTGAAGGATAGACTCTCCAAAGCCTATGAGTTGGCCTCAGCCTATTCACAGCGAAGGAAAATTCGACAAAAGGATGTTTATGACTCCAAAGTTAGAGGAGCTGTCCTTGCCATTGGTGACAGAGTGTTAGTCAAGGTTGTCGCTTTTGATGGGAAACACAAGCTCTCGGATAAGTGGGAGGAACATCCATATGTCGTCATGAATCAGCCAAACCCGGACGTACCAGTTTACGAAGTGAAGAGAGAAGATGGAGAAGGAAGGTCTAAGACACTTCATCGGAATCTCCTTCTTCCAATCAGCTTCTTACCAGGGCATACTGATAAACCTGTACCAGTACCTAGACCCCGACGATCGAGGGCAGCTCAGCATACACCGGTCGCCGAAGACGACGACAGCATCAGTGTGGCAGAGACTGACTCTACAGACGAGATGTTGGTGGTTCTGGATTGTGACGTAAAGGACACCACACCCGGGCCCAGAACCAGCCAACAAGAGGAGTCTGAGCAGGCAGATGAGGATGGGGAAGAGGACGCTCTTCACGAGGATGTATCTACTGCTACGGGAGATACTGAAGAGGACGAAGACTCAGTGAAATTCAGGAGGAAGGACCGACATTACCTCGGCGATCCCAGAGAGAGAGACGGAAACCCTCCTGGATGCGGAGTGACACCTTCCAGTTTAGACAGCAGCCGGAGCCAGATTGGAAGGCACGAGCTCATTACCTTGAGTCAATTGCAAAATCTAGAGTACTGCAAGGAAAGGAAGATGATGCAGCAACGGCACTGCTCAACATTATCTCAGGACAGTAAAATTTGTTTTAGCTTGTTTTTTTTACAGGATTCTTCTGTTAAGCGTCGAGGATGACTTTCAACAAAGCAGGGGAGGATTACCATATTTTTAGAGTTTTAATTGAAATAAAGAAATGATATTGTATGATTTTACCGATTGTCCAACGTGTTGTGTATCGCGTCCGTTATATGCCGTCCGTATTAGTGCAGCTATGTATACATGTACGTTCCGTATGTATTCGTTTCGTCTGTATTGTACTTTGTAATTGTACTGTCCGAGTGGTCAGTCTTGGTGTGACGTCCTGTAGTTTCTGTTGTTTCATTGGTTGTTTGTATTGGGCAGTTGGCGGGAGTTTCTTTGTGTGAGAGAGAGATTTTAGTCGGTGTCGGACATCTTGACAGGACAGACCTGACAGATCTAGATGCAAGTCTTTTACCTTTTCTAACCTTATATTTTCACTTATTCTTTCTATAATATCTATTGGTTGAAAGTGTTTAAGATTTATGAAATCTATATATATATATATTATTTGATAATATTAGACAAGAATGGATAAGATTTTGTGCGTTTAAAAAATAATTGAACATAGTATCTATATTCATGTACATGTATATGCATTTGTAACCATTTTTTATAAAGTAGATTATTTCATAAATAATATTTATGAAATATATACATCTGACTTTAATGTGAGATTGTGTTAGACAGTAAGGGTATAAAGTGGTTTTTATTTGTATTTTTAGAATTCCATATTACGTACAAGCTTATACCTGTATGTAGAATTGTATCGCTCCTTATCACTGTGGACATGGGCTTTGGGCCATTACCCAGGTAGATATATTATTATTTCTAAATTATCATGATGTATATTCTCGGTGAATACTTTATATCCTAATGTAACGATAAATGTATCTTTCTATCATTCATATTACTTAAATAGAATTCCTCGTGTAATGTGACATCATATAGACGTGACGTATTGTCCTAGTGTTTCTGTAAGAGTTATTTCCCTTTGCGTATGAAAGTTGTCAGAGTATGGTTAGCTTGATAATGTGTTTAGTCTGTTTTTATTTCTTGTTACAGAGTCTTTATTATGTCCATCCATGGAATAAATTGACGAACAACACTTGTGGTCTTGTTATATTTGTTGGCAAGAATAACACCACTATTACACAATCATCAAAATATCTCCCGTATGACGCCGTTTTCACGGCACATGTAAATGAGTCCCAAAGAGTGGCTCAAGTTTGGTTTTATACACGACTGAGTGTAGCCTAATCTATACATCCTTGTGCACTAGCAGTGTTCAAACTACTAGCTCACAAGAATAAGACTACAGGTAATACCGATTACATCTACTACAACTGTACTAGAATACGGACAGGTAATGAGAGACTATCCCTAATTCATAATGGGCATGCTCAATAGCCACTGATCAATCTGATAAGTTTCCACAAATCTTCAGCTATGAAATAATTGCAAGATGACCCAATTTTTTAACTGTTATATTTGAAAATTTCCACTGATCACTGGTAATCTCTGACCAGCCTTTGAACAACAATGGCAATTTGTTACAGTCCAAGGTTATCTGTGATTTAAATGCACAACTGTAGCGATACTTCACATATACATCTTTTGTATATTTTTACCAATAGAATATTATTATCAAAATGAAAGTAATGCATCTTTGCATATAGGAAAACAGTGAAGTCGATTACACGTCTTTATATGACTATATGAGTGTTTTTTGAGTGTAAATGTCTTTATATTATTTTACTACTAAAATGAAACCATAATCCTTGACTATAATTTAACTTATTTACAATGAATATTTTCCTGACAGTGGCAAAACAATAAAATATTTAAATGTTGGCGTAACGATTGTTTGGTTAGTTATATTTCCCTTAAAGCTAACTTATTTTAATAAAACTACAATATTCGTTTTTTAAATCCTTCACACAATATTTTACCCTTTTCTTACTTATAACTGACAATTGTCTGAAACACAACAACAGTCACGTTTATGATCAGCTTGAAGCTTTCTCATATGTGCTATAATTGTATACATGTATATCACACATTTTGCACTGTTGAAATGCCAGTTATTAAGAGATGTGATACATTCAAATACCCTGACTTACAAGATATAATTGTTCTTTTTCTGCGGGTTTCCTTATATTTAAAAAACAAAAACTTAATTAAACCAGTAATAATTGTAATGCGTGTACAGGTGAAAACTGACTAGGAGGTATTGACAAATCCACAGTGTCAACCCTTTGTTTGATCAATAACCCCCTACCTAGGATCATCACGCCCGCGTGTTCACACTTTAAGTAAAAACGATATGGTGCGAATCATGATAAAGTAAAACCTCAAGTCTGCAAGCAGGCGTGTCAAGAAGAAGGAGTGTCAAGGTGATTGTGAAATATCGTCAAAATCTTGTACATTTTAACCTAATGACAGGGTCACTGGTCTCTTGCTACTGGTGTGGACTTATATTCACATGCATGTTAGCCCTCCTGTGGTTACTAGATAAACTGATTCACTATAATCACATGTGCACGTGGTATGACCTTACCCTTGTCAATATTTTTTCAGACTCCTCCAACGTCTGGTCGGTTTCCTTTCTTAACTACTGTGTTATCGGCTAATTATTATTATTATTACATTTTTAACGGCCCGTCAACACAAAAAAGGTCATAAGGGCCATCAAACGGTAAAACGCGCAATGATCCAAAAGGAAATTACATTAAACAAACCAAAAGGTTAAAGACAAATGTTAAAAATCTTAAATGGGTATAGGAATAGAGAAATCCAATACCACACCCTACCATCCGATGGGAAACGGCCTCTGTGAGAGGTTCATGCCTACAATTGTACTCGGCAGGAATCGACTGGGTTCACACCCTACTTCCTTATGTTCGGGCGAAACCCAAGATTACCCATTGACTTAGCCTTTGGAGTAGACAACACCGGAGTTTCCTCACGGTCTATGACAACTTACGTCGATTCGTTGAAGGATAGACTCTCCAAAGCCTATGAGTTGGCCTCAGCCTATTCACAGCGAAGGAAAATTCGACAAAAGGATGTTTATGACTCCAAAGTTAGAGGAGCTGTCCTTGCCATTGGTGACAGAGTGTTAGTCAAGGTTGTCGCTTTTGATGTGAAACACAAGCTCTCGGATAAGTGGGAGGAACATCCATATGTCGTCATGAATCAGCCAAACCCGGACGTACCAGTTTACGAAGTGAAGAGAGAAGATGGAGAAGGAAGGTCTAAGACACTTCATCGGAATCTCCTTCTTCCAATCAGCTTCTTACCAGGGCATACTGATAAACCTGTACCAGTACCTAGACCCCGACGATCGAGGGCAGCTCAGCATACACCGGTCGCCGAAGACGACGACAGCATCAGTGTGGCAGAGACTGACTCTACAGACGAGATGTTGGTGGTTCTGGATTGTGATGTAAAGGACACCACACCCAGGCCCAGAACCAGCCAACAAGAGGAGTCTGAGCAGGCAGATGAGGATGGGGAAGAGGACGCTCTTCACGAGGATGTATCTACTGCTACGGGAGATACTGAAGAGGACGAAGACTCAGTTAGTGAAATTCAGGAGGAAGGGCCGACATTACCTCGGCGATCCCAGAGAGAGAGACGGAAACCCTCCTGGATGCGGAGTGACACCTTCCAGTTTAGACAGCAGCCGGAGCCAGATTGGAAGGCACGAGCTCATTACCTTGAGTCAATTGCAAAATCTAGAGTACTGCAAGGAAAGGAAGATGATGTCGCAACGGCACTGCTCAACATTATCTCAGGACAGTAAAATTTGTTTTAGCTTGTTTTTTTTTACAGACTTTAGATTCTTCTGTTAAGCGTCGAGGATGACTTTCAACAAAGCAGGGGAGGATGTAACAGGGACATATTTTTAGAGTTTTAATTGAAATAAAGAATATGTGATATTGTATGATTTTACCGATTGTCCAACGTGTTGTGTATCGCGTCCGTTATATGCCGTCCGTATTAGTGCAGCTATGTATACATGTACGTTCCGTATGTATTCGTTTCGTCTGTATTGTACTTTGTAATTGTACTGTCCGAGTGGTCAGTCTTGGTGTGACGTCCTGTAGTTTCTGTTGTTTCATTGGTTGTTTGTATTGGGCAGTTGGCGGGAGTTTCTTTGTGTGAGAGAGAGATTTTAGTCGGTGTCGGACATCTTGACAGGACAGACCTGACAGATCTAGATGCAAGTCTTTTACCTTTTCTAACCTTATATTTTCACTTATTCTTTCTATAATATCTATTGGTTGAAAGTGTTTAAGATTTATGAAATCTATATATATATATATTATTTGATAATATTAGACAAGAATGGATAAGATTTTGTGCGTTAAAAAAATAATTGAACATAGTATCTATATTCATGTACATGTACGTGCATTTGTAACCATTTTTTATAAAGTAGATTATTTCATAAATAATATTTATGAAATATATACATCTGACTTTAATGTGAGATTGTGTAAGACAGTAAGGGTATAAAGTGGTTTTTATTTGTATTTTTAGAATTCCATATTACGTACAAGCTTATACCTGTATGTAGACTTGTATCGCTCCTTATCACTGTGGACATGGGCTTTGGGCCATTACCCAGGTAGATATATTATTATTTCTAAATTATCATGATGTATATTCTCGGTGAATACTTTATATCCTAATGTAACGATAAATGTATCTTTCTATCATTCATATTACTTAAATAGAATTCCTCGTGTAATGTGACATCATATAGACGTGACGTATTGTCCTAGTGTTTCTGTAAGAGTTATTTCCCTTTGCGTATGAAAGTTGTCAGAGTATGGTTAGCTTGATAATGTGTTTAGTCTGTTTTTATTTCTTGTTACAGAGTCTTTATTATGTCCATCCATGGAATAAATTGACGAACAACACTTGTGGTCTTGTTATATTTGTTGGCAAGAATAACACCACTATTACACAATCATCAAAATATCTCCCGTATGACGCCGTTTTCACGGCACATGTAAATGAGTCCCAAAGAGTGACTCAAGTTTGGTTTTATACACGACTGAGTGTAGCCTAATCTATACATCCTTGTGCACTAGCAGTGTTCAAACTACTAGCTCACAAGAATAAGACTACAGGTAATACCGATTACATCTACTTCAACTGTACTAGAATACGGACAGGTAATGAGAGACTATCCCTAATTCATAATGGGCATGCTCAATAGCCACTGATCAATCTGATAAGTTTCCACAAATCTTCAGCTATGAAATAATTGCAAGATGACCCAATTTTTTAACTGTTATATTTGAAAATTTCCACTGATCACTGGTAATCTCTGACCAGCCTTTGAACAACAATGGCAATTTGTTACAGTCCAAGGTTATCTGTGATTTAAATGCACAACTGTAGCGATACTTCACATATACATCTTTTGTATATTTTTACCAATAGAATATTATTATCAAAATGAAAGTAATGCATCTTTGCATATAGGAAAACAGTGAAGTCGATTACACGTCTTTATATGACTATATGAGTGTTTTTTGAGTGTAAATGTCTTTATATTATTTTACTACTAAAATGAAACCATAATCCTTGACTATAATTTAACTTATTTACAATGAATATTTTCCTGACAGTGGCAAAACAATAAAATATTTAAATGTTGGCGTAACGATTGTTTGGTTAGTTATATTTCCCTTAAAGCTAACTTATTTTAATAAAACTACAATATTCGTTTTTTAAATCCTTCACACAATATTTTACCCTTTTCTTACTTATAACTGACAATTGTCTGAAACACAACAACAGTCACGTTTATGATCAGCTTGAAGCTTTCTCATATGTGCTATAATTGTATACATGTATATCACACATTTTGCACTGTTGAAATGCCAGTTATTAAGAGATGTGATACATTCAAATACCCTGACTTACAAGATATAATTGTTCTTTTTCTGCGGGTTTCCTTATATTTAAAAAACAAAAACTTAATTAAACCAGTAATAATTGTAATGCGTGTACAGGTGAAAACTGACTAGGAGGTATTGACAAATCCACAGTGTCAACCCTTTGTTTGATCAATAACCCCCTACCTAGGATCATCACGCCCGCGTGTTCACACTTTAAGTAAAAACGATATGGTGCGAATCATGATAAAGTAAAACCTCAAGTCTGCAAGCAGGCGTGTCAAGAAGAAGGAGTGTCAAGAAGGTGATTGTGAAATATCGTCAAAATCTTGTACATTTTAACCTAATGACAGGGTCACTGGTCTCTTGCTACTGGTGTGGACTTATATTCACATGCATGTTAGCCCTCCTGTGGTTACTAGATAAACTGATTCACTATAATCACATGTGCACGTGGTATGACCTTACCCTTGTCAATATTTTTTCAGACTCCTCCAACGTCTGGTCGCTTTCCTTTCTTAATTACTGTGTTATCGGCTAATTATTATTATTATTACATTTTTAACGGCCCGTCAACACAAAAAAGGTCATAAGGGCCATCAAACGGTAAAACGCGCAATGATCCAAAAGGAAATAACATTAAACAAACCAAAAGGTTAAAGACAAATGTTAAAAATCTTAAATGGGTATGTCAACACAATAGATTAAAATGCTACGTCATAGTCTATTATATAGACCAACATCTTCCAGGTAATGTAGAATTTTACAAATCTTGACAGTTTCAAAAGGGGATTTTAGACATGTAATGTTACGATAAAAACATTCTCGAGTAGACAGAAGGTCACTGCAGTTCAACAAAAAAAGTTTAACGGTGAATGGCTCATCACATCCTATGCACAAAGGATTATCTTCGCCTTTTAACTTTAACATATATGAATGTGTAAGGTATGTATGACCCATCCGAAGACGGTCCAGGACAACTTTGTCTCGGTGGTTGTCTCTATAGCCTGGATACCATTCACCGATAACAGGTTTAACGGAGTGCAATTTGTTTTTGGTATAGGTATTCCAATCCTCCTGCCACTGAGGTTTTAAAATTTGTTTAATAAATGGTTTAAAATCGGTAAAATGAAGTTTAAAGACAACAGGTGATTGTGATAAAGCTTCCTTTACGGCTAATTACAATCCATACATATCTGGAATCATCGCCTTTAAAGTGACATGTTGCTTATAGTTTATATAACCTCCTGTAATTAAATATATCTGTGGTTTACTTTCGTCATCATTAAGACACTAGTTAAACATTGGTATGTACAATAAGACACGATATAAAGAATGGGAAACTTGCTATTGTTTCATTCGAGTATGTAGCTGGGCTACATAGTAAACATTAAAAAACTGTGTTATATTTAAAATTAAATTATTCATTTGCCCATAATTTTTGTCCACCACTTATGTGAGTATGCAGTATTGTTTTTGATACTTGTGACAAATATATTAAAAAGTATATTCCCATAATTGTTATAATGATAAAGGTAATCCTCGACCTTCAGGACGAAAATACAATGCAAAATTATAATTTTATTTCAGAAAGTCAAAACCTGCATTCTGAAACCACACAAGAGCATGCGATTACTTGGAAGGAGAAGATAACATCATGTCGCTGGCTTGTTGGTGTTGTAGTCTGTATACAGATGTCCTGTTCAATGACGTTGCGTATGAATATGTCAATGGTCGTAGTTTGTATGAATCCGCCCAACATGACAGTTACATTGGTCCTGAATGGAACGAACATCACAAAAAGAGACGAATATTTGGTAAGAGTGTTAGGTTTAGAATTATAGCTTTGCATTATTATTATTTCAACCTTACGGACCGTCAACACATAAAATGTCATTCGGGCCATCATCCGGTGAAAGACAGCGCTCGTAAAGGAAATAATATCAAAATGCGAAGGTAAAAGACAAATGCTAAAAATCTCAAATGGTTATATTATCACAAAAGATTAAAATGGTATATTCTGTAATATAGACCAACATCTTTCAGATAACCTAGAATTTATTTATCTCAAGTTTCAAAAAGACTTTATCGTTCCGATAAGATTTGTTTCGAGTACACAAAAGGTCAATGCAGTTAAATAAAAAAATATTTAGAGACCCATTCGATGGCGGGCAAGGACAACTTTGTTTCGGTGGTTGTCTCTATAGCATGGAGACCATTCATCGATGAGAAGTTTTACAGAATGCAATTTATTATCGGTATATTGATTCAATTTTTTCTGCCATTGAGCTGTTAAAAATGTTGAGAAATTAGTTGAAATCAGTAAAATGAAGTTTAAAACCAACAGGTGGTAGAGATAAAGCTGCCTTTGAGGCACGATCCGCTTTTCATGGCCCAGTATTCCCATGTTCCCAGCAAAATAACAATACGAAAGTTTAAGGCAAGTTCATGATATGGTATTTATGTATAATGAATGAGAATACTTTCGATAGTTCTATTGCTATGTCTTTATAGCACAGAAAGAGAGTCTGATTAGAAAACAACTTTCTATTCTTTCTTTTAATATGTTCAAGCACTTCCGTCGAGAATATTGGGGCGTTTTTTTCGGTAGCCAGCATTTATAGGCTTCATCTTGTGAAACCATGGCCTTATTATTATCTTTTGAACCATCAGTATATAGATGTAGAATTCTTTTTTTATATTCTAACTTCAATTTAGAGAAGGATGAACGGAAGGTGCAACTGTCAGTGTCTGTTTTAACCATTTCGTGAAGTGAAAGATCAACTTCAGGTGAATTAAAGGCGGGATTTGGTCAATATCAATATTTGTGTTTTGTAAAAGAGAGCTCAAATGCGAATGGTGGAATGGTCGTGGGTTTTTTTTTTAAACAAGGCTTTTATATTTGGGATACATGAAAAAGCTGGATGTAAAAGATTCGACTTTAGCTTAAATGTGTATTGCAAAGCCAATTCATTTCGACGGATATATAGTGATGGTTCGTTAGCCTTTACATATAGATTTGATGTAGTTGTGGTCTTAAAAGCTCCAAAAGCGCAAACTTTTGAAAATCAGATGCTCATTCACCTGATACCTGCCATTCCTTCTTTTTCTCCCACCTCTGCTCATGGAGGATAAATCTATCCCACATGACTGCACTCGTGACCTCAGTCGGCTATCACAACTGACTCAAACCGATGAGTGGATACTTTGTTTGCAGGTTCCGTAATGCGCGACTGTAACATCAGTTAACATTAACTATAACAATCCTTGTCCAGTGAACACAAATAAACGTCGGAGGATTATCTATGACTATGATTCTGAATGAACACACGCGTGACACTCGCGCCATTGCAATTTTTCGCGCGTATAAACAATTGGCGTCATTATAAAATGGGAAATCCCCTTTTGTCCATGACATCGCGGCAAGCCTACCCTACCTTAATAAATGATATGGAGTTAAATGTTGTTCAATACAAGTATTTCCATGTATCTATCGCTAATCAAAATATTTAATTTCCAAATAATAAATATTTCTAATGGTTATTCATATTGCGTTTGTAGTCTGTCATTTTGCTCTCGCGGAAGAATGTAGAATTTTGGAAACGTGAATGGTGATATTCATGCGCCATTCAGACACTTGTACCGTGGGATTTTTTAATGGGGTGGGAGAAAAATAATCAACCCCTACCCTCAGAGGATGTGACAGAGAAATCTCCAACCATCGGGGTGTTTTTTATGTAGTCTAACCATCGGGTTAGACAACAACAAAATGCACCCCTCGGGTTGGAGATTTCTCTATCACACCCTCAGGGTAGGGGAAGATTTTATTAGTCATTATAAGCCAAACAGTGCACTACTGCCGTCATCTTCGTGCGACTGCATCCGTGTTTCTTCGCTAGTTGAAGAAGGGCCTGCTCATTTTGAGATGATGAAAGTGCAATGCAAACAAAAATACATTCCTTAATGTACATTTACTGTTTGGTTTCCAGGATAACTACGTAGAATGGGACAGTAACACGGAGGGCCTATTGATAGCCGGCTATTACATCGGACTTTTCATCACCTCAATGGCTTTTGGGGCATTAACAGACAAGGTGAACGTTAAAGCAATGATGATTGGTCTGACTTTGGTAATGGTAGTGACGTCATTGCTAACTCCAGTTTTGACGTTCGTGAGTCCATATCTTGTTCTTGCTACTCGGATTATACTTGGTATTTCAGCGGTAAGTACGTTTCTGAATCTTAAAATATTGTTTAAAAACGGAATAAATAATAAAGATATTCTTTTATGTATGAGTTGTATAGTCAAATGAAAAAAGTCGTTTTTTCGTAATTTAATTGATTTAGTGGTCGCGATAAAAGATCACATTAGAAATGCACTAATGCGTTATCACTTAATTCATCTAAGGCAATATAACCATGAAGTTAAATGTTAGAAAAAAAAAAATAAAATGCAAAAATATATCTTAAATGTGTAACATATGTTAGGGCGGGTTGGAACCCGGTGCTACACAGATACTTTCAAACTGGGCTCCTCTCCCCGAAAGAGCCCAAATGATGGTTTTAATCGAAACAGGTAAGTTATAACAACACTTATAAATAAACCATTATAAAGATTTAGGTAGACAGTATCCACAATGCATTTCACTTGCAAAAAATTCAGTTGAGCATATATGATGTACGATTTGTAAAATGGAGGTCAGGATGGTAAAACAAAACAGATTTTGGTAAATCTCATTTCCATTTCGAAAAAAATGTAAAAATATCACAACAAATACATATCACATTTTTTTAAATATTGTTTACTGAAATCATGTAGCATACAGATACTAGGGTACATGCTATTGTATGAAAGTACTTTGAAATGTGTTCACTGTATTTAAAAGAAACGTAAAACGCAAATGGTTAATTTACTTGTTCCAATGGTGACTTACTGTTAAATTGTTCCGAGTGTTCATCCATTGGATTCTTTTTTCTGTTTAAGCCAATAGTATCGGTGCTATTTTGAACTTTCTCCTGTCCGGACTGATCTGCTCTATACCCGTATTAGGGGGATGGCCGTTCATTTACTATATTTTTGGTAAGAAACCTAATCATTATGACGATTTCTGTGTGAATTGTGTTTCGCCGGCCTCGCTGTGGGTATCTGAAATGATCAAAAAAATCCTAATACATAAGCTCAATGCATTTTCAGGTCATTGTATGCCGAAGGTGTATACAAAGTTAACTATCGGAAGGTAATAGAGGATAGCTGTAAATAATGCCTGAACGTTTTAGTTATGCCATCCGTCAAAGAGTTTCAAATACTTAACTGATGAAATTTGCGAGAAAACTTTAACCATTATGGTTCTCCAAGGGTAATGCCAAACAAGGAACGTGCCCAACCAATATTAATTTTATTGCGTCATATCACAAGGTATGTTAACTTTCCTTATACATACCATTTCAGGAAGGGCAAGATCAGAATCAGTTTGCTTAGGTTTTAATCTGTTGAATTTTTATTCTGTATATCACAGTCATTTATTATTGTTTCCCATTCAGGAGGAGTAAACTTGCTCGCAATTGTACAGTGGACGTTAGTTATCTATGACAAACCTAGCATGCATCCAAGAATAACCAGGAAGGAACTTGATTTTATAGAAAACCACAAAGAGAAAAAGAACCTAGTCACGGTAGGTATAGATTTTAGTCTCAGAATTCGAAAAGTGTTGAAATAAAAAGCTTTGTCTTTATCCACAAACCACCATCGATTATAAGGTTTTGCGATTGCCCTACTTTGCTACTGTAGTTTCTATCCCCATTAAATAGCAATTTCGTTTGTGGATCTTACAATATAGGATCTAGAGGCCACCATATCAACAGCATGTGTTCTTTCTGTGGTCTACAAGCAAGCTTGAGTCTATTTTGCATCAATTATATAACAAGCATACAACGGCGATTAAGTTAAAGATGAAATGGATGTCATTGTGCTTTTAGGGCGAATATATCACTCAATTAAGATATTTTATTCGAGGGCGAACATAAAACTAGGTAACTCTTTCCTTTAATTAAAATAAAAGCTTAAGATGAAGCAATCAAAATTTATCAGATCAAATATACAAATATATACAATTCGTATTGATGTCATGCAATTTCAGATAAATCTACGAAATTATGTTTCATTTTTTGTATTATAGACATTACCTATACCTTGGCTGAAGATGATGACATCACCTGCGTTCTGGGGATGTGTTCTTGGTTTCATCACTTCCGGTGTAATATTCATGATCATGGCAATCTGTCTACCACTGTATATTGAACAAGTGCTTAAGTTTGATGCCACAGTGGTATGTTGTTTTCACAACCATTAGTATAAGAGTTTAAAATAAATCTTTTTACAGTCGTAGACGTTGATGGTTTACCTTAACACCCGTTCCTACATAACCTTTGTATTTGTATAGACGTTAAATTTGTGAAAAATGTTTTTAGAAATAATCACTTGAGGTTGTGCTTTTTATTATTAAGTGCAGTTTCAGTTGTAAGCCGGTATCTGGTTCATACGTTGTTGATTAGGTAGAACAGTATGCCATACCAGGTAATATCATCTACAGTTCTCAAATTTAGCCACTAACCGACCAAAGCGTAAGTAATTAGTATTTTTTTTTCTTAACGGCCCATCAATATATAGAAGGTCAAATAAATAATTTCATAAATTATGGAAATACTTAAACCGAAAAGACAAAAATGAGAAAGTGTAATTGGGAACAGTTATTGTTTTTTACAGAGTTATATCATTTTCTTCGATTGTTTAATACTGGACGTGGTCCCACCATTTCTTGACCCTTATGACCTCTACGCCGATGTTTTCGTTCAAAATATCATTTCACCAAATAATCGTCCAGTGAATTCGCCAATGTAACAGTTTGACACATGTCACTAGTGCAATATACTTTGAGGATTATAGAATTACAAAATAAAGATTGGAACCATGTGCAAATGCGTGAAGGTTTCTTTCAAGAGATAGCTTGTTGTGATAGTCAGGTCACTACACATAGATGTTTGTGTAATGACCTATATCTCACCAATTTTAATGTAACTTAAAATGATTAACTTATCAAAGTCTATAATTCGATATATCAGATATGTCCAGAATCATCAATATGGAAATACTAAGGAGGCAGAGGACTGGTTGAAATTGAGATATTTTCTGATAATGCTAAATTGATATATAACTTTTACGGTTATTAAAATGGTACCATTTTCAAAAAACGTTCGATGTTATTCGGTTGCCAAGGTAACCAACTAAGACCCCAACGCTGATCACGTCGTTAGCGATGGTTGACGACACATGTGCCCAAACGTTTCCCTATGAGACGTTGGAGATCCATGCTTTTCACGAACGCATCTCGATTCGCCTTACAGTCAGATTGCCGTAAACGTGTGTACTGTCTGTGAGGAGAGCGTCTTGCAGACGCTGGTCTTTTGAGACTTTTATTTATCAATAACGGGAACAATGGCTGTACGCTATCGGTGTGAAATCCTTAAGCCTAATGTTTCCTTATAGTGTTGACCGTTATTTCAACTTAGTGTACATTAGGATGCCCTAATTCATGGAGGACTCATTCAGACCTCCTTTGTTAAACATTCAAATGTTTTCTTTTTCTTTTTTTCCTCTTGGTTTTATAAACATTTGCTTTTGATGACTTGTTTATATTTAAAAATCGAAATTTTAACGGCCATGTGTCAGAAAGACGAACATATCTTTCAAAATCATATCGAAGGATTTGAATATTTGTATGTTTTTAGAACGGCGCAGTTTCAGCTTTAGTCTTCGTAGGCAGATTAGCTGGAGCTGTTGTCTTTGGACACTTGGCCGATTTTGTTTATTCCAAGGGCCGTCTTTCTATCTGCCAGCTCCGGAAATTATTTCAAGTCACTGGTAAATTATGCTGCTGTAATGTTCATGTTTATTAAAATGCATTTATAGACACTCCTTCACTAATTTTGTTTTTGTAAATTTGTTATTATGTCTTTGAAACACGTAGTTGTCGTATATGTTGTCTCCAGAAAATAGGAGTACTGACGGGCGCTTTCACAGTACCCGTTCTGTCGACAGAAGATGTTTTAAAAAATTCTTTGTTTCGAAAGATTTCACCATTATCTTTAGAATTGTACTTAAATAAATGCCGACCATTGATAAAATATTGTGAACGTAATAGTTTAGCGCTAAACGTATTGGGGTAAAGTAGGATGGCACAAAATAGTTCCTAGTATAATGTAGAATATGTTGAGGAGGCGCAAATCCCTCACTGCGCTATTTTCTACAGAGTAATAATGCGCTAAAATGTTTCACAGACACGAGTAATTTTTTATCGAACATCGTTTGCTTTTTTGGCAAGGGTGGAATATTCATAACCATAAAACTATGTTATCTTAAAATCGTTAATGCTTAGACACTCAGGAAATATTTATCTATAATGGTTTGATATAGTAAATGTTTTCTGCACGTTACAGGTTTGCTTGGTTCTGTTCCAATTGTTATCTGGATTGGCTTCCTAAGGCAGAATGACCGGCTTCTGGCCGTGGTGCTAATGATTCTTTATTGGTTCATTGTGTCTGCTATGAACTCTGGTTTCCGTGTCAATCCTGCCGATATTGCCCCAAGGTAGGTGTGTAAAGAATATTCAACAGTTACAGAAAATAAGAATTCCTCAGGTGAATATTTAATCAATGACACAAGAAAACATTTGTTTTTGTTATAAAATGGATTTTGAGGATTAACAACTACTTACTAAATTGGTAATTCGCCACCTAACCTACAAAGGCCAATGCCCTTAACTAATACAAAATTAAACCACATTTACAAAGCCCAAGATACAATTATTCCACACTCAAGAGACAATTACTTCACACTCAACATCCAATTATTTCACACTCAAGATAGAAAGATAAGTTTGAAAATACTTTCCTAAATGCTATTACGGACTCGCCACTCAGACTGGTGGGCCAATATCCATCTTTCATTCAAAGTCGAACCCCTTTATCCATATGGTGTTTCAGATTGTTTTTTGTTCAATGACCTAACATCAATCTAAGAGTGTTGATTTTTTAATTCATTCGAATAGTGGCACAGTTCAGAACACATGCACTTTTCTTCCTTTTGGAAATTATCAGATTATTTATAATAATTTATAGAAATATGAGGCATTTTAACATTTTTTACCCCTTTGGATTTTCCTCTCAGTTGTATCCTAGATTTAAAATTTTAGGCACTTAGCATCACTGATGAGCTTTACCATAGTTTACTTTATAAGGTTCCGCTCCATAGGTTCCAGACAACCCCTTTATACAAAATTTAGCTTCCATACACTATAGATAATTCATATATTTACTTGAAAAGCAAGGCTTACGAAATCGGTCGCTATCGTCACAACGTGATTTTGAACTTACAAGAAGTTAAAGAAGTAAGAACTAACTAATTATGAAATATAACTTTTTGTCAGATTTGCAGGATTGATAAACGGAATCAGCATTACTCTCACAGCTGTCTTATCTGCCATTGCACCTTTAATTGTTGCCGCCATAACACCAAATGTAAGTTTGCACTATCTGATGAAATAAATCAAAGATATACACAACATATATTTTCATAGAATACAAGCATATCATTAGCTTGAATTATGAGTTGCAGTATAATGACATATTTCATCTCACTGGTCAGATTATAAAGAAACGTCTTGTGAAGTCGTAACTTTGTCAGTTTTGAAACTAGATATTTTGGTATTCTATGCCCTTGCCAACTCAATCAATACTATGTCAGGTGCTGTGGCCATTTATAATTTCTTAATGACTTCTTGAGCTCGGCCGATAGGCAGGGCTTGATTTGGTGTTGTTTACATCTTATTCTATAAGCACATCTAGGTAATATACCTACAGGAAGGTATAAAGACACTATGTATGGAGTATAAGACAGGGTAATGAACCAAGTTAAACATTAATCCCTTTAGCTGACAATTAATTCCCCTTGTACTACCTGTCCCTCATAAAGCTTAGAAATCCTCAAATCAAGAATATATCATGTACTGGGAATTAAACATGTTGCTGGATACTACAAACGGGCAAGGTAAATGTTTAATAATTCTTAATAATATACACAGAATATGTCGACGGAATATATGTAAACGAGAATTAGTAAGATATTTCAATGGTGTTTTCGTTGGCTTTTCTTCAGGGTACAGCAGAGGAATGGCAGCTCGTATTTTACGGTGTTGTTGGAGTATCCGTAATAGGTTCTGTCGTATTTGTAATTCTGGTCAGTGGTGACGAACAGGAATGGGCAAAGGATCCTACAATGGTATCAGACATAGCGATTACTGTATCTGATAACGACATGAAGAATGGTCTTTATTCGGAATCAACACCATTATTACATGACAGCAAAAGCTAACGTGTAAAATGAATATTCGAAGAAAACAATGTTTAACGAAATAAAGTTGTTCTCTTGATTTGCTATGACATAAAAAATAAATAAAACATTTCCACCAACCGTCATCAAATCAAAAACTATCTAAGACATCTGGAAGTAGTTTGTCTTTAAACAGATCATTGCTATTTCATGATGAAAACTACAGGTATATTCATCCTATCTTTTGTTCTGTGTTTTTCTGGCTCCATACCCATACATGTTAATTTGTGAGGTGGAGAAAGATAATAAAATTTAAAATAAAACTTTTTTCTCTTAAGATACAAGTTACTCATAATTTTTCTTTAGATCTTCAAAATTCAAAATGACGTATATGCGGCCTTCTCCATTTGTATTATTATTATCATTATGACATTCTTAACGGCCTGTCAACACATAAAAAGGTCATTAGGGCTATCAACCGGTAAAACAAACAGTGATTCAAAAGGGAATAACGTGAAACAAATCAAAAGGTAAAAGACAAATGCTAAAAATCTTAAGTGGGTATATTAATACAAGATATTAAAATGGCAAATCATAGTCTATTATTTAGACCAACATCTTTCAGGTGAAGTAGAATTTTACAAATCTCAACAGTTTCAAAACGGGTTTTCCTAATTTGTAAATTTAAACATATATAACCTTTGACCCACTGACCTCGTTCAAATGTCTTTGCAGACTCTCCTTCAAAAATATTTTCTAATCCCCCTTGTCATTGACATTGACGGGAGTTTTCTTCCTATCAGGACTGCTTTTATTATTGGCCAATTTCGGCATCAGTGTGATCGATTGGGATGAATACTATTTCATATAAGAGAGAAAGCAGACCAATTTCAGTGTAGCCGTTTGCCTTCGTTTCAATGCTTTTTACTTACTTGATCAGCTTTACATTAAGACTTTGACGTAAATACATTAAAATAAACAAATGAAATGCATATCTCACCATATGTAAAAATATGCTTGATTTACTGCTGGCACTGTTGTGAAATAACATTGTACATTAAGTACAGTTCCGAGTATTCCGGATATACCCGGAAGGCTTCTTACCTTTTGTATCTGGTCCAACTCTGAGTTTTATTGCGACCCAATACATAAAAATACAGACATTACTTCCTGCCAATACGTCTGTTTGGCAATATTGTAAAATGATAAAAACTTATCAAGTCATTAACATAACTCGATTTTCACAACATTGCATCTAATTTTCCCTTCAAAAAGTACAATCATAGCTTAAACTCAATGTTTTGTTACCAACTTTGTGTTACCGGTTCGTCTATTTAGAGCCTCGGCTGAGCGACCATCGTGTTTCTTTACTCTTATCTATTTAATAAACCGATCTTATCAATTCAACTTCCTTTTCAACATTCCTCAATCATATCACAGGTATTCGTCTGGTGATCAGGAAACACGCCAAATCCCGTAGGTGAAAACTCTAAAACCGGATATAGTTAGTGCGTTATATAAAAGGAAACAGATTCCAGGCTCTGCAAGGGATGAGGTCACAGAAGGGTCCATCGACATTAATAGTCCAACGAGTTCTTCAGGGACACTTTTTTTCGAGGACGTAAACACTCAAAAACCATTATTTCATTAACATTATTTGTGTGAAAATATATCGATTATTTTGCAATTTCTCAAAAATATACCATGTTTCATACCTTCAATGTTTCTGTCTGGAATTTAGAGGTCCACGTTTTGGTAATCGTTGGGACTAATTAAAGATTTAATTAAGGCGGACATGCATTATTCATCTCTGGGAATGTCGCTTCATGAGACTAGATCGATGCCATACAACATTATTCGCGAGCAAGTGTAAATTGACATGTTTGAGCAGTCGTTACATAGTCTTTGCTAATACAATGAAGCGAAATGTCACATATGACAGCATATGTCCCTCGCTGTTGCCCATTGTTCCAGGTAGAAGCACCAATTGTAAAGCAATGCGCTTTCCCATTTAACTAACGAACAATTAACAACTTGTTGGGAATGGAGAAAATGTTTTCAGACTACATTTCCTATATAACTCTTACCGATCCTACATTACTCTATGATTTCTGTTACAGACTGAAAATGCTAACAGAAAATTAATTATCTATCTGTATTTCTGAGTCATCAACGGTCATGGGAATTTCCTTGAAAATGACCATCTTACATTCTGGCCTACATTGGTTCACTGTGTCTCTGAATTTCACATTTTACTCTTTGCATAACTCACTTAACTAGTGTTATTATTATTATTACATTGGGGCCACCAACCGGTGAAAGACATAACGATCTAACAGGAAATAACATCAAACAAAACTAAAAGACAAATGCTAAAATCTTAAATGGTTATATTATCACAAATTATTAAAATCGTACGTCAAATTTTAAAATATCGACCAACATCTTTCAGATAACCGAGAATTTTATTAATCTCCACAGCTTCAAAAAGGTTTTTAGACTTGTAACGTTACGATAAAAAAAATTTTCGAGTAGACAGAAGGGTAATGCAGTCCAATAAAAACATGTTTGACAGTGAATGGCTCATCACATCCTATGCACCGAGGATTATATTCGCCTTTCAACATATATGAATGTTTAAAGTATGTATATCGTCCATTCGAAATTGGGCAAGGGCAACTTCGTCTCGTTGATTGTCTCTATAGCAAGGCGACCATTCAACGATGATTGATACGAAAGCAAATTATTTGTCCTGTTACTGGACTGTTTAACATTTATTTGATAAATGGTTTAAAGTCAGTAAAATCAAGTTTCAAAACAGGTGATAACGATAAATCTTCCTTTGTTGCACGATCTGATTTTTCAGATATGTTATTAATTTTTTATGAATGAAAATATTTTCGATATTTCTATCGCTAAGACTTTGTGATACCTTATCATTTTCTTTTGAACCATTAGTATATGAATGTAGAAAATATGTGTATTTTAATTTCAATTTCGAGAAAGATGAACGAAAGGTGCAACTGTCAGTGTCCAATTTTTAACCATTTCATGAAGTGATAGGTCAACTTCAGGTGAATTCAAGAGCCAAGGTGGAATTTCTTTCGTCCCAAATGACTGATTTTGGTTAATATCAATATTTGTGTTTTGTAAAAGAGAGAAAATCTGAATGGTGGAATGGTTTTTTATTTGTTTTATATTTTGGATCAAATGTAAGTGCAAAAGCAGGATCTGAAGCATTAGACTTATCTGAATGGTGTATTGCAATGCCAGCTATATTGTGATGGTTCTTTAGCCACTACATAGAGGCTTGTTGTAGGTGTGGTCGTAAAAGCTCTAAGAGCGAGTCTAAGACTCTGGTGATGAAAAGTGTCTAATAAGTTGAGATATGAAGGTCTAGCAGATCCACACACAGTGGAACCGTAGTCTAATTTTGATCTGATAAGAGTTCTATAAAATCTTAACAAAACTTTTTTTTATCATGCCTTAAGACATTGGGCTTTACAATATTTGATATGTGGAAGGAAAGACAACTTCCTGTCGCATATTAAACCCAAGTATGTATCCCTTTCCATTGATCGTTTTACAAAGTTTGAAATCATGGCCATCCTCTGAGTCTAATGAGGAATGACAAGGTCGTTTATTTTGATTTTTATGCCCATAGTTAAGTGTTTAAATTTGCATTACCCGTGCTCCTCAACCACAGTGGAGTCCAACAAGGGGACACTACAAACAGTACGGATCTCCAGTGCACAAGTGCCAAGGATACACATGTAGTCTACTCGAAAGAACAGAACTCTCTCTATTTGTCCTTAAGCCAGCGCCTTTTGGGATACAACTGTAAAATAGAATCTACAAAAATAGATTGACATACAATAATAGGGAGAAAACTGAACATTAAGGACATTTAAGCTGACCCAGGGATTGGCATGACCAGCCGATTGATCATTGAGGGACACAATGATCACCCGTCGTCTTACTGAGATAGAGGCAAAAGTGATGTATGGAAGAAAGGCCATGCAAGAGTGTTGGAGAGTAAAGCACAAACCACATAATCGCCTCTCAACTACCAGGGTCCTTTCTCCCAGCACTAACGGGACTTTTTCACATGCAGTAGGACACGGATATATTCTAACCCCTATCCGCAGGGGGATTACTAAACAAAATATAGAGTATAGGTGTGCAAGAACCTGAAATAGATGCATCGTTCCCGTGAAATATGTGCCGGAAAATTCAACATTTTTCAATTTAAAATTGTTAAACGTTTTTGCAATATTCATATTTAAGATCATAATTTTCAACAGCTTAAACCTATTATTTGATAGTGTCCATCATTGTTTTTATTTCATTTTCAAGTTAAAGTGTACATATGTTTCGCGGCATTAAATTTGTCATATTATATATCCAAGGGTCTTTTGAGTTCTTTTATTGCAAGTCTTTGGTTGCCCATTAGCGTGCTATGAAAAAGTTTTGAATGGATTTCGGGCAAAAGTCTAGTGAACTTGAATAAAGTCCTTAATAAGAACGTGTAAATGAATGTTTGATTAACCAAGCTACCTGATTTTATGTTTGTCGGCTTGTAGGTTGCTGGGATGAAATTCGAATAAGCAATTTTGATCAACAGTCAAAGTAACATGGTAAAATTTGTTTAAAATGTTAAAAATCTTTTTTTTTTTTTCTGAAGCAAAAGGTATCGAATCATAATCACAGGGTTCAAATTTATGAAATCTGTTAAAAACTTTTGTTTTGTAATCAAAGCAACGGCTGGAATCATAATATTTGGTTTTAGGTAAGCGAAAAAACAACGAATGATATGTTTCTGATAGGGTCCCTCCTGGATTGAAGAAAAACAAAGATCACAGAAGTCAAATTTCTGCAAACCTTCAAAAATGTTCTTCTAACAGATCAATATGTCTATAATCATATTTGATGAAATAAAATTTATCAAATTTGAGTAACATAAATTACTTTGAACCATATTCAAGGTTTCAAGGGTCAAGTTGATGAAACTCTCAAACGACGTTCATTAACCATCCAAGGAAAGCCAACAACGTGTACAGTTAATTTATTTGTGAAAAATATTCTAATAACCGGTGAGCGTTGCAGACCCATTAAGTCTCTTGTTACAATACAATTGCTCACTATCACCAAATGATTTAACACTTTTTCTTTTTGGATAGGTGTGTGTTTCACTGCTTGATGGCCATAATGACCTTTTTATGTTTTGTATTAGTATTGATAATAACAATATTTCATAAAGGTTTCGTTTTTTATTACTAACAGTTATAAATTAGGAGTTGAGCATAAATATCTTCGACTCTTGTTTTTTTTTTTTTTTTTTTTTGAAATAACAACGACAGAACTAATCTTTTGGAAATTTAATTACCCCTATAGTATAAAACAGCATTTCAAAATTCTGCAAAGAAATCATAAAGGTGAATCACGTCAAACCAAACATATATGTTTGGTTTTGCAAATGTTAATTTAATTATATCTTTTGTTCTCATTGATTTCTACAGACAAACGCGAGTCGAAATCGATGGCATTGTTGTTATTACCAGTCACTTTAATCATCACATCTCTATTCTGTTCGGGATCTTTTGCCCACTCTTGTTCCTCTGCACTGGCCAGTACGAAGAACAGCACAGCACCCACCACAGACACGCCCACACATCCGTAAAACACGATTTGCCATTCATCAGATGTACCCTGTAAGCGAATGCGTGAAAATTGACGATTAGTTTGTTTTCCTTATGTTTGCTCTCTGACTTTTGAGGATGTACATCACCTAACAAAACAATGTGATGAATAAGCTGTCTTTCCCTATAACTCTTCTAGGGCATACGAATAACTGTCAACTCATAAACTACTATTTATATTTGATAACGAAATACATTTTCTTTTTTTTTTTGGCAAATACTGTTCACAAGCGACAACTTTTATATTTCGAAAAATCTCTTCAGAGGACCATCGATACTTGATCGTATTTCAAAAGTTTCAAACATGAATTGTTTACCAGCAGATACAACTGCACTGGTTAAAGCAAATCTGTCTAACCCTGTCACAACGGTTGTATAAGTTAAATGATTCAGACTAGGATTAAGTTATGAATATTATATGGATTCAGTCACAAATCACACTTGGCTGTTTACAGTTTACAATTCATTATGGGAGAAATGTTGACAGCAGTTGCGAAATCCACATCTTGAAGTGGTGAACTCTTAAATGATTTTAGATATAGATTAGAATCAAATATTGCTTGTGAACGAAAAGGTCTTGAGATGCTTTGCCGAATTTGCAATTGTCATGACCCCAACATTTTCCCCTGGAAAACGGCAAAATCTTTACTAACGTTTATATTGAAAAAAAAAACTTTCTAGCATGATCTGTTTAGTTTCGTTTGAAAATAATTCGGACAAAATTATTTGCATTCCATTAAGTTATTCTACTTTCTTCAAAGCAGAATTTCTAGAAACTGTCAATAAAATAAATATCCGATGAGTGTAAATGCATTTTGTCCTCTTGTCACTATATCTTCGATATCGATATTTTGCCAGACTGAACCGGGAATAAATTTTCAGAGATTTCTTCATATGCAATGTTCTTGAACCTTTTTATGTTACAAGGGTTATCAAATTGACTTTGGTTCACTGGAATGAGAAGACTTCGATGAAACTGACATTTTGCCTGTAGATTTCTGGGATGTAGTGCTACAAACATACCTGAAAACGATATCAATGTCGCGATCATCGGGATCAAATATATTAAACGCAGTGAAGAAGAGGCCCATAGCGCCTGCAAAAACTTACCTTGTTTGGTTTTGTAAAAGGGATGTGACTAATCAAACTTGAGCTTAATACTTTCAACCAATCTGAAGAAAGATTCCCCTAACGGACCCCTCTCCTCTGCTCATGTATGGTCAGATTCACAGTATACACAAGGGTTTCAAAGCTAACTGTTTATAAAAAACTTGGTCAAAATTCCTTCATCTCTACAAGACGGATTTCAGGGTTTATATAAATTTCCCTCTTAGGCATCACATCCCCTCCAGCCTTGGCGCACCGTTTACAACAAAACAGTTCCTTTTCCAATTATGTTTTAGATCATATTATGTCAAGTAATACATAATACAAAATGACATCCCCTTTGCCCATAAAGGCGCTCCGACTACTTTTAGATTCTGCCATCGTTACAGCAGAAGAATTTAAAAAATCGAGCCACAATATTTCGACAGAATTAAATCGCCCAGTGTGTACAAAATCCACTCTGTCATTTATGATGAGTTAATCAATAGGACACCAAAAATAGCTCAATATGAATAAGCTCTTGCGTCGCTTGTATACACAAATGAATTTTAAACTTACATTTGGAGTAGCAGCTGCAACCAGCAGAGGTACAAACAGTGAAAATACACTGTTTAGAAAAATACACATTCCATTAATGACACCAGCAAACCTGAAATCATACCGAAATATAAATGAAACACCCTAAAATGCAGAAATCATAAATCCTTTACACGACATTAAATACATTAGTGTTGTTATAATAACCAAGACTTAATCACAAAGTATCTAAAAATCTTCTTTTTTCATAAATAGTTCATAAATGGGTTATTTTTTCCAAACTATAAACATATGCTTGAGCTCACCTTCTAATGAAAGATTTACCGATATGCATTACACGAAAATGCATAATAAAATCAAGAACATAGTCTAATGGTCGTTGGAGTTGGGGCATATATCTGACTACATAATGCGCCAAATTATCCATATAAAACATATTGATGAACAAGAGCCAGAAATAGGTGCACCACTTCTGCGAAAAAAATTACACAATCAACACTGGATATTTTTTTCATTTTGCGAAATTTTGAAACATGTTCGAGATTACAATTGTTCAGCAGTTGCCGCTAATTTTATTGGATCTGTTGATACTCCAGGGCCTTCTTCAGATAACTGTAAAATATTTATTTATTTATTACTATGTTAACGGCCCCTCAACACATAAAATGTCATTAGGGCTATCAACCGGTGACACACACAACGATCCAAACAGGAAAAAAAAAACATCAAACAAACGAAAAATGCTAAAAATATTAAATGGTTATATTATCACAAAAGATTTAAATGGTAAGTCATGTTCTATAATAAAGATAAATACAATATCAAAATCGGAATATTTTACAAATTATTCTAAATAGCACGAAAACTTTTTCCCAAGTCAAATCCGGTGTTATCCGGTAACAGGGAGTGATGGTTCCACGCACAAAACTACGACCAACGAAAATGGTAGTGGGAACAATGAAATAGCACAAGTACTAAACAAGGTGAACCATGATGGTAAAAGGTATCTGTTTCATGGACGACGCCCACCTGGTAAGTAGATTATTATAATATTTATGACGGGAAATCAACTCAGAAAAAATTATAAAGTTCCATACTGGTGATACGAAAGTTCAGAAATAAAAGAACATCAAACAAACTAACATGTGAAAGTGTTATCAATACAATTACATACAATAACTAAGTGATTATGATCCTGTTAAAGAGAACGACAGACAGCATGCCGACACTATAGAATTTTGCATTTGGTCTATCTGAATCTTCATCTCCTGGTGTCCCTTTGACAACCGTCCTCATATGACCTCGACAGTTCCAATGACGTTAAACCTAAAATTGTGTACTTACCTCGGAGCTATATCGGCTGGATTGACCCTAAAACCAGAGTTCATACAGGTGAGTGTGAACCAGTAAAGAGTCATAAGTATGACAGCGAGTACTCGGTCATTTTCTCCAAGGAAACTGATCCAAATGATGATGGGGACAGAACCCATCAAGCCTGGTACAAACGGAAATAATGATTTAATGATTGCTGTTACTTTTATAACAGAGCAAATTCTGCAACCTGAGATATTCTTATTTGATTGCACTCTAGATGTTTAATAATTTAAAAGTGTGAAACTTTGACCATCGGTATTGGACTTTTGATACAGTATTGCAACAGTAATATAGTTGGTATATCTGTTCTTGGTGTGAAAGGCATTGATATTCTGTGATGTACTATATTGAATCTCGTGTCTTGTCTTGTGATTTTTTGCAAAATGACCGATACTCTCGTGTGCCAAATAGAAGTACAGGGCGGAATAAAAGTACAGGATCTTCAAAATGAAATGAAATGTTGGTAACACCCTACAGCACGATTTCGGCCAAGGACAGATTGGCGATTCCATTTCCGGTTATGTTCCGAGGGGACTTTCGTCACAACACGGTGAAAATATGATTTCGCATTTTGAAGTAAGCAGTGATAGACAGTTGAGAATATCATCACACATCACGGGAATATTAAACAAATGTGTTTTCCATTCACGAATTTTGAGATTCCGCTTCGGTCGAACTGAAAATGCGATGCAATGTTGAGCCTACTCGTCTTCGTTTTACCAACGGTGGACGATACCATCAGGTCACCAGTTACGGGGGTTCACAATGGAGTTTTCCTTGGGTCAGAACATTGTTTTTTAAAACGTGGCGCGGTAGGCGAAGCTCGCCCGCGAGCTGATTTTTTTTTTTACAAGATTTTTCAAAAAACGTACAAACCCAAATAAGCATCGTACAGGGCGGATTTTTCTCCATAAAAATAAACGTACATGTACGTTTATTTGGCACACGAGAGTACACGTGTATAATTCCCTCACCACAAACATGACATGTTTTTCTTATTGCAGTCAATGACAACCATCTTTTGGTAAAAAACAAGTCGGAAAGACGTCCAAAGACAAGTGCTCCAAGAAATCGGCCCACGAATGCCAATGCCGATACCAAACCATTCTGTAACAAGATATTAAGATATTTTTTCAAAAAAACTTTTATAGTTGTTTATTGGATCTACATCATGTAATAGTGGGAAGTTGTTTTTGCTCAATGTTTCTGAAGCCCACTTTGATACTTTGTATGTTTTGTGTTGAGGTACGATTGTTAAGTATGGAATTTTCATCATACACTTCACTTGTGTTGTTGTCAATAGCTTTACGTATGAGTTAAACCATTAGAACTTCTTTTTCTTTTTTTTTTTTTTACGGAAAATGAGCCATTTGTCATCTTTATGGGAAAAATGAAAGGATTTCACTTTATGTATAACCATAACAATATGCTAGGTCAGTCAGTCTATAATGAGCAATATCTATACACATCATTGCAAACATGACGCGTGATAGACTTTCGTGTATTGTTATAGAGACATACATGTGGTATACATGAACTAAGCAGGAAGACTAAATCCAATTCATGCATTATTGCGTAGTATGTAGTATATTGTTAGCATATCTGCCATTGCTATGTGTATGGACCAAGAGGCTTAATTTTTCTATTGCCAATAAAAATATTACATAAGAGAACTTTGTACTTGCTTCTACGATACTCAATAACATATGTCTTACCGTTGCAACATCAAATTTTAAGACTTGTTCTATATATAGCGGAAGACACACCGCCATGACCATAAACATAATTCCGGATGTCACATAACCAATTACGCATGCCCAGACTGGTCCTGATGTCAGCATCTTTAACCAAGGTACCTTCAGAGGCTATTTAAATAGACAAAAATATAAATAGGTTATAAAATCAAATACATAAACCAATAGTAAATAGTCAATTGAGTCATTTTATAACATTTATTAAACATTGCCTTAAAGGAAGTCAATAGCGAACAAAGAATATCGTTAAATAGAATATCTCTTATTTTTTTCAGAATAGTAAACAAAGACCGATACAGACGATCCTTCATCATGATCAATTTTCCTTCTCTAGCGGAGTTTTCCATGAAACGGGTTTTATATTGTATAATCAGTCAGATGTTTGTCGCACCAATTCTGGTATGTATTTATAATCTAAATATAGTTTAGATAATATCTAAACACTTTTACTGCAAACTGGTAAACGGTTTGAATACTTTAATTTATGAGGTCATTTGCTGGTTTTCACCTTTATAGACACCCTATTAGAACCCCTCCGCCTGAAAATTATGTCTGTATATGATAATTTGATAAAAGGCGAAGTTTTAAATTACGAAATATATTTGCATAAACGAAAGATATACCACTGTCTAACAGGAAACCATAGGAAATTCATTACCAACTTCATTATGTCAGCAACTTTGGCCGTATTACGTATAGCAATATCGCATAACATTTCTAATATTTGTGTCCGTCTCTAGACAATATATTACATCTTGATTTTGATATACAAAAAAGTTTCTCTTTTACCAGCATGGGCTCTTAATAGTAATTAGTCTTGTGTTTATTGTCCAACGCATCCCCTGGTTGGCCAAGGCCATTTCAACAGAGGACGCTAAAAACCAAATCTGGACCAAATACTAGGATCAAAAGGAGAATTTTGAAGATATATTTATATTTTCAACGGCGCTGCCCTAATGTGGCATAATGTACTATCCCTCCATACAATGCACCCTCCTAAGCTTTTCGAGACGCTGTCATTAAGCTCTCCCGACAATTGCAATGGTCTAAAATCCAAGCAAACAAACGGAAGTTCAAAAAATGTACTCGATCAACTTTTGGTTAAGTCCTTACGACCAACCGAGAACATATTTCAAATATTTCGTTATCTATTACTTGTTGGACATCTTTCCGTATCTCCCACGAGATCCAAAATCCCGTTCATTCAAGTAAAGTCATCGCACGATGTCTTTGAAATTCCTATATCAGAACGGATATATTTTTGCCTTAGCAATGCTCTCGAAGGATTTAAACGATTATTTTATACAGGACTGAATGACCATCACTAAAGGATTTGTTACGTATAATTTGGACAATATTCAATTGTTCGTTTGGGAAAAATAACGTTTAGAAGATGACAGACACTGCGCCGAAGCATAGTTCACCGTTCCTCTGAACAGCTGAGCAAACAAATGAGATATTTCAGTCTATATTCACCGTGTACCTTTCCATGTGATTTTGTTCTATGGCTGTTGATATATTCTGATTCTGACGGCTTGATCCAGGGATGAAGATTAGGTTTGTCATAAACCAAAAATACCCATAGAGTCATGGCTACCACATTCACCCCACCTGTTTGGAAAACTTGAGGTGTAGCACGACACATGGGCTATTGTCTTCACATGGGATCCCAGAGGGATATTGACGCCCACCATCGTTTCATCTTGATCAGTTAATGTTGGGCCGTTTTCTTCCTTGTTTCTGTTTTGCTCTTAATTATATGGAATTTGAGAATTAATCTAAGAAACATACAAATTGTCACCGATTTGGTAATTTTATTTTCTGGACAGACCCAAATTAAAACGGCAAAGGGGACCAGAGGAAACCTTCCTATTGGTATTTGAGTAAGATCCATCCAGTATCTCTTAAGAAATCACAATAACAAATGTTCATTTTTATAATATAACAAAGGCACCGGTCAGCTATTCTGCGTCTCTAACCACTCCCAACATGAAAAGGCCAAACCCAAGGACAAATGAAAAACTACAGGTGAAATCTAAGAAAAAAAATCCATCAAGCCCTTCTCAGAAGTATAGGTGTGAATATAGATGTCAAAATCTAGCATGGCCGCTTGTCGGTCATTTCGTTTACATATGAAAGAGAAAGATCCATCTAGACTGATCAACAAACAGCGATAAAAACAGCATTCAAGATGTCGGTTTGGTTTTATTTCTTGACCAGACCTTAGATTATATGGGGAAAATATACCAACGGGAAGCTACATATGAAATATGAGAAAGACCCATCTCAAAAAATAGTGATGCCAATATCTTATTGTGAAAATTTTGTTTCGCCTCTTGGCGGTAATTTTGTTTTTCTGATCAGCCTGAGGATCATAAGAACACTCTTATGGACCAAGGGAAGCCTAAATATTCAATGATAGAAAAACTCCAATATTTCACTAGAAACCGATATAAAAAAACCCTTTCATTGACATTAACCAAGGTGACTGCCTGTTAGTTATTTGGATTTTCTGGTCTGTCTTAATATCCAAAGGACACATCTATGGACAAACGAAGACCTATATGGGAAATTTCAGGAAGATCCATCCAGTGCTCCAGAAATTAATAGCAATTACGAAATTAGTCAAAACAGATAATCTCAAAATAAAAATGATATTAATAGCAAAAGGAAACATACATATCCCATTGAAACAGAAAGTAATAAAGAATGTCTCAAGAAATAACAATAAAAACGTGCACTGTAAAAATCGAAGGGGCATTTTGGCAATGTTATTTCCTTTATTTATTGATTAAAAAAGAAAAGAACTCAACAAGGAACCAAGCCGAACCTTCGATCTGTCCAGTTTTGCACAGGAAGTAGCGATAACAAGAACTGTTTAAGAACGGACGTTGGACGCAGGGCGATACGATAAGCACACCACCTGATGACTGTGCTAAAAACAGATAAACTCAATTCTTTGTTTTAGGTGATCAACAATTCTTTCAACAATCAAGTGAATATGTATAAAAACATAATAAAAACAAGTGATTCTAGAGGGATCTTGGCACCCACCTTTATATGCTTTCCTTTTCCCTTGTCTTCTGTTTCTGCTCTTAATGATAAGATATTCGAATATTCCATTCCAGAAATAGCGATGATAAGGAGTGACCAAAGTGAACATACGTATGAAATATGAGATATGCATTCAGTACTTCTTAAGAAGTAGCAATAACAATCTTTACTAGGCAAAATCCAAGATGGCTGCCTGTCGGCCATTTTGTTTTTCTGGTCAGTCCCAAACTAAAACAGGCACAACTAAGTACCTAAAGAAACCAAAAAGTGAAATTGGAGAGAGAAAGATCTATAGAGTGGTTCCCAAGAAAGTGATAACAAACTTTCTAAGTCAAAAATCCAAGATGGCCGCATGTGAGACATTTTGTTTCTCTTAATCAATACTAAAATCAAACAGACACAACTAGGGATCAAGGAATGCATAGACATGACATTTGAGAAAGATTTATGTAGTTCTCAATAAATAACAATAACAAACTTTCAAAATAAAAAATCTAAGATACCGTCTGTCGGAATTTATTTTTTTCTGATCAGATCCAAAATCGAATGGGCACACCTAGGGACTAAGGAGAACCTACGTATAAAATTTGAGAGAGATTATTTTCTGACTAGCGATAACAAACTTCATTGATAAAAAATTGAAGATGGCTGCCTGTCGTTTAATGTCGTTATTATTTTTATCAGCCTCAAAATCAAACGAGACAACAAGGGACTAATAGAAACTTACATATTAAAATCCACCCTTTAATTCTCAAGAAACAGCGATAACAAAAATTGTTAACGGACGGTTCACGGACGAAGAGCGATTTGAATAGCTCACCATCTGATGGTGGTGGGCTAAAACAGAGGGTGGGCGAAAACATATATCAGACGGCTTTTGTGACAATAAACACGTTAATATTATTAAGACGTCAATGAAATTAAACAAATGAATTAACGTGAAGCATTCCTGATATCACATAATGAGCAGGTGGTCGTTTCTACAACTGATTCGAAATACCATTATATATATTTGTCGGCATGGTTTTAGTATAAGCGAAATATCTTCAAGTAACTTATGATAATAGTTAACGATATCATCAAAATATCTCATGTTATCTCCGTTACATTTGTTAATATTGAACTTATTCAATGAATTAGCAGGAAAGTCAACATGGTAGATAGGAAATCCTATGTTTCTTCGCTAGATATGGAAAACAAATCGGTTTTTGAAATAACAATGTATTTATTTCATAAGTTTGCGCAACAAAAATGTAGACGGTGTAGTAACATGTATTATTAGTTAGCGTATTAACGTTAAGAACCAAGCATAATGAATTCAACATTGTTTGTATGTTTACCACAACGATCTTTTACGTATCGGGGATAAGGGCTCCGGTGAAGGTTGCTATTTACGAAAAATCATAGCAGAATTTGTACTCACCATAAATGTAATACACGAAAGGCCAACCACCCAGAACAGGTATGTTGCAGATAAACCCTGACAGGAGGAAGTTTCCTATCCCACCAATACTGTTAGCTAATAAAAGTGAAAACATATGTAATATCCTATAAGTAAAAATACATATTACATGGCATCAATATGAGAAAAAATTCCTTTTTGCTTTAATTTATGAAAAACATTTGGAAACGTTATGTTGATAAGATTTGAAAAGATTTCGTAATTTCAAGAATTCAGTATAGGGCATGGACATCAAAAACAGCTTTTTTTCTGCTATGGTGACGTCTATAACTTGTTTGATATTTATCAATAAGGTCGGTTTATACGAAATGCCATCTCATTGTGATTATCGTTCCTTCTAATGAAAATAAAGACTTTTCTTTAAATGCTAAACGATGTATACAAAGAGCAATGTAAAATATTTTCAAATAATTTTACATTGCCATTTGTACTGCGCATTATCATCTCGTGCATAAGTACTTATCTGATGTAATACGTATCCTTGTTTTTCACTTGAAACTGGTATGACATTTGACATTAACTGGGGAATAGGTTGAAGTGCTAACACGGTGCTAATAGAAGTTACGTCGTTCTTTTTAATATTAAAAAATGTATTGGTCATTCCTATGAAAAACCGCTCGCTTGAGTGACGCAGGGTATGATATGACATAATCGTAATATGGGATTGGGGGGTGCCTCAGGGAATCTCGTCAAACTTTCCACTCTTATAAAGCATAAAAATATTTCATATTTGGATTTTGGGGTCTATAAGGTCACAACGAAATGTCGATGTAACTATTTGAAGAAACTTATCGTCAGCACTTTGAAAAAATTCCAGAATGAATGAAATCACCAATCAAACTTTACACAAATGCCCAACTTAATTTCGTATAGGTCAGTTTGGGTCGCTATGGTTATTGTATCATTCGCAATGTCCTATGTTTGCTTTACAAACTTTTAAAACAATATATCAATGTTGACATGAAAGGGATATCCTACCTTGTTCTGTAATGGACATCATCTGAGCACGTTCGGGAAGAGGTGCCCAATTTGACAAGAGCTGGGTACCACATGGCTCCAATCCCCCCTTTAAAAAAGAATATACTGCAATGAAAAACTGGAATATGGGTAAGTGGAAGTATGTTGATCTTGAATTCAAAACAAAGGAGAATTGTTCAAAATATTTCAGTACTTTAAAAGTGTTGGAAATTTCATGAAAATCACTGAAGAAGTGAGGCTGCTATAGCGCTGACGATGGCTTTCTAGATAGTAAAAGTGGCCTTCAACTACCAACCATGAAAATCAAAATTGTTACGTACATCATATGTTTTTAAGTTTGTGAGGTTTTAACAACCAAACAATCCTGCAATTCAACAGTGTTCAAGTACTTAAAATTTGTGAGAATTGTATGAAAATTCCTAAAAGAGTGAAGTTAATTGAGCGCTGACAATGATTTTCTGAAGTAACACTGACAATTGAAAAGAATAAAGTTGACCGGCAACACGTTTCTATACACAGTAAAGATGACCTTGGCCTACATCCATCAACTCTTATAATCTAAGATATTGTGATGCTTTATTAGTGTGTAAATGTTGATCATAGACTGGGACCACGAACTGCATCCATGGCACTCAACGTCCCCGAGGTATGTTGATGCTTTATAAGTGTGTAAAGTTGGAAGAGATTCCTTGATGGAATGAAATCACTAAGGTGCTAACAAACTTTGCTGTTACGCACGTACGTACACAGGCAGACACCCCCACAATCCAATCAGTAGGGGTCAAACATCGTTAAAATACCAACCGATCATCCGTGATATCATTAAAATATAATAGGTCACTTAACATGCGCCCTCCATCAACTTGATTTTTTTTCTTAAAGACACGTCAGAATCATGGATTTATAATTGCCGTAGGCACATCAATGAGGCAAGGGATAAAAGAAACATTATGGTTATCCATTAAATATGCATTCTCGATTCTCCAGGGGTAACGCACACTATTGTTCTCCACATACCTAGAACATCTCATGTCAAAATTGAAGATTGGCTTTGAAGCTGGGTGTCTCTCCTTTGTAAGCTTCTGTAATTGGCCACTTTCTACTGAAACCCACTGTAACCTGATCAAATTACTACGCTCGTGCCTTCAATTTTGCTATGAAATATTTCAGGGGTGCAGAAATCGAAAGTGATCGTGTCGTGGATGTCAAATATGAGATTGTATAAAGGATACAAATAAAAAGCATCATCAAATACAAATTTAGAACTTTGTACAGTAAGTGTAATGAATTAACATGTATCAAACGGCTGTTTCGTTATTCTAGAACACAAGAGTGATGCTAAGGGACTGAATTTTGAAACGCATGTGTGACTGAGAAAATCTAAATTACTAAAAGATGAATAATGTAATTAATCGTTGTGTTTAATTTAAATGCGATATGTTGTTCAATGTAGATCTGCAGATAGAAGTTTAGATATTTAAATAATTTACTGTGCTGTGCTGGAGTTGTAAGCCGAATATAGGAAAAATGTCTTATTTTGATTTACTGTTCACAGAAAAGTAATGTTATGTGATTTTTTTCTGTTGTTAAAATAAAGTAAGCTTGATACTCGTTTATCTGTATACTTTTCGGTAACGATTTGCCCATGCAAAGTTAAAATCAAAATGATTTGAACATTTGTTTGCATGGAACGTCTCATGACAACTGCAGGGGATGGCCGAGCATTCGGGATGCTACAAGTAGGACAACCACAAAAAAAATGCGAATGCACACATACACATCAATGCATGACATTTCTCGATTATGGTATGGATTCCGGAGGGCCGGAAACGTCACCGTGAGGTCTCGATCGGGTAGACTACGGTATATGACAGCAAGCTGGGATATTTATTTTAGTACTCTTATTGTGACAGCTGCGTTTCTGAGCATGACTGTTTCGGTTTGAGCTCCAATCAATTTTGATTGTTGGACTGACTTGTACTTGAATGAAGGTGATAGCCGCATAGGTTTACGGTACCTATAATGATATCCTTCATCCAATTGCAAGACCCTTTGCAGGTGCTGTCGGCCCTGAATTTGTACTGATCGACAGCAATGCTCGACCACATAGGGCTAGACCTGTGAATAAGTACCGTCAAGCAGGGACGACTATCGGACATGCGTAGGACTTGGTACAATAACGCATTACCGATATGCCAATACCGATTGGGGCCAATGGAGGACTATCACTATTGATAGTGTTTCTAAACTCACTGAAGAATTTCAAAATTTTCATAAAAAAATCCAAAAAAGCCTTCCGCAGCAATCTGGAATATCCAGTGATTCTTAAATGTGGCATGCACAACATTGTCTGTATCCATTAAGCCGCATAGAAAATCTGATAAGAAATTATGAAGATAAGGCCAGAGGACATTTTTTCAGTCAGATGAAAAATAAATATACACTTATTCAATCCTAGAGCTTGTACAGTTGCTGGAGGTATATTACACAAATACACGTAGCAAAAGGAAAAAGATGCAGCTATGAGCAGCTTCGTATCATCATAGTAATACTAAGAAATGATTAAGGCAATTTTCGCAAGAGCTTTTATTCGTTTTTGAAATTTTGTTATGGTTTGAATATTCATTAACCGATATTGATATGAAAAACATTACATATCATATGGGCTAATTATATCTAGAATTAATGTTTTGACGAAACTTACCGTCGCTATGCCGATCACCACACGTGTAGCTAGAACCACCCAAGGACTGACAAATGTTAAAGCCGGCGTCACAAACGATGTAACGATCATGATAAATGTTAGGAACAAAATCAACTTCTTCCCACTGATCCTTCCAGTTAAGTTTCCGAAAATAAGAGATGTAAATACTTGGCCCATGTAATACCCCGAGATGAGAAGTCCCTCCATAGTGCTATCCCAATATACGTAGTTGTCCTAGATCACAGAACAAAATAAATTTAGCGCAGATGTACATTGATGAATTCAGTGTAAATGACAGGTTTGTTTGACTATTGGCCTGCTTCCTTCATTGCTATTAATGTATTTGGCAAGGTGTGTCAAAGTGAAACTGCCGTAACATATACCACGTGAACTATCACTATATGCATTTTTTTCCACTCTAAATGTACGCGTTTTAATACTTTGCAATGCTGAATTATGTTTTTTTTTCAATAGAGAAATTGGAAAATATATATATGAATAAATTAAACTTTTTGCAACATTCTTTTATTCGGGGGGCATCGATCGGTTCTACCGTTTTCCTTGTTCATATTGTTTGACTAGGCGCAGTAGGAATAATAAGTATTGTGGAAAACTGCACCTTAGCATAAGCTCATCGGTCCTGCGGCCAAAAAATCCTAACTCTACTAACAAAACCTCGGAGAATGTGTCTACACAATCATCAGTCTGTCTTCAACTTGTCCTTATCTATTTGAATCGTCAAACTACACGATGTATTTTAATCACCTACCAGATACGGATCGCGGTAGGTGACGTTCGTCCCATTTTGTTCCACTGTGATAGTAAGGTTTCCAGGTTTCATGCAGACAACCACCATGGACATGTTAAGTCGGAGTAGTATGGAACAGGACATGGCCAGGGCAGCGATAATTCCAACCTGCCATCGACATGATGTATACTTCTCCAGAAGAGTAAACTTATACTCTTTACTTTTATCATCTTTCAGGAGAGGTGTTTGCTCTGTAATATGCAATAAATAAGCAGTACAACACAATGTATTGGACTGCATTGACTTGTAGCCTACACGTGATATTGACTGATAATAATTTAAAATAATGAATTAATTTATTCTTGACGAAGTGACAGGTGTCCGTCTGTATCGAAAACCTAGACTTAATTTCTTTTTGGATGAAATGTGTTGAAAGTATATATATTGGTTTCAAATCAAGAAAATCAATTAACATTGGCCAACAAAATCGAGAGGGTTTATTAAGCAGTTGTGCGCATTTCTTTGTTTTATATATATAATATAGAGAATCAGTCTTTTCTTTTAACGATTGAAAGTAAGTAATATAAATATTACAAATATTTGTTATAAGTGGCATACAAGTTATTTACAAATTGTCATCTATAAAATTAATTAATGAAAGAAGAAAAATACTACGTACAAAACCCCTTACTTCGAGTGACCTGTTTCGACTACAAGAATTATTATGACGATCAATTAGCATGTACAAAGGTGTGGTCTGTCAACGATATCTGTTAGGTGTAGTTTTAAGACCGGCAGTGGAATGCTCCTCATTATAGTGCGGAAATATTACAATTTATTGCGAATCATCAATACCTTTTACCTCCAAAGCAAAAACGATTATAGAAATTTGTATTGAAATGAAATTATTACAAAAACAATTATGAATTAACCATTGCCCTATAAAATTTCCTCGAAAAAAGTTCACCTTGTCAGCCAATCAAAATGAGTTTTCATTTTTTCATCGTTTGGGATGGGTTTTCATTTTTCAACTTTTGTTTATGCTTGATGCCTAAGGAGTGGAATAACATCAATTTATCGAACAGGATATTAGTATTAATATATTGTGCATGGTGTTAAAAAAGAGAAACAAATTGCGAAAATAAGCGTTTTTATCAATATATAACAAAGACACGTATTATCCATATGGCAAATTTTAAGTCGACACTTCAAAGATATTATGGTAGCAGTACAGTCTCTCGATGTGGCCATGGGTGATATTTTTGTTCATTGGATTACAAAGATTTTATTTTAAATTAAAAAAAATGAAACCTTGCAAATATTTGCCTTGTTTTGTTGAAGTGGTCAAGGTGGTGTTTTATTTTTTTCTTAGAATAATATTTTAGCTTTTTGTTGGAGATTACTGTTTGGGCAGTCTCGAATCTGTGTTTACGCACCAAAAGCTGGCTTTACAAGAAGTGAAATTTTCATGGTGTTTAGACGTGGGCATGTTGTGAAGTATTTCCGAGTTGGAATTTACTGAAATGTAAGTACTTTGTTGCCATGGCAATGCTGTTGATTATAAGGCAGATGTTCAGACATAACTTCCTTCTATAAATGTGTAGTGTTAGGTTGAAATTAGCAGTATTTTGGCATTTTTAGGATTTTTTTTTTCAGTTGGTAGCCATGCCAATTATATGTCAGAAATCAGAGGAATTTTTTTATTTACACAAAGTTTATCTCTCTACTATTCATGTAGTTGTTATGTAGTTTATAAATATATATACATGTAATGATGTATTTTTCATAACCAAACTGCTGTACCAGTATATCTCAAACAAGACCAATAATTTCAGAACAAATGCAAATAAAATGTTTCCCGCTACCTATGCTATGACAATAGACAGAGGTAAGCGATACAGGTTGAAACCTGATTCTTTCATATATCAGCTTGTAGATATATTATTTTCCATATATATTTTAGAGTTATTTTTTTATAATTATGATATTCTTAACGGCTAGTTAACATATAAAAAGGTTATTAGGGCCATCAACCAGTAAAACACAAAGCGATCCAAAAAGAAATAGTATCAAACGAACTGGAAAGGAAAAGACAAATGCTAAAAAATTGGTAAGTCATGCTCTGAATTGTAGACAAACATCTTTTTTTATTAATCTGAACAGTTCAAATAAGGTCTTTGGACTTGTAACGTTACGATATAAATGTTCTCGAGTAGACAGAAGAAAAAACTGTTTAGCATTCAATAGCTCATCATATGCTACGCCTTTCAACATATATGATTGTGTAAGGTGTGTATGGCCCATCCGAAGACTGGCAAGAACAACTTCGTCTTGGCGCTTGTCTCTATCACATGAAGACCATTCACTGACGATAGGTTTTACGGAGTGCAATTTATGATCGATATGTTGATTCCATTCCTCCTGTCACTGAGCTATTAAAACTGTTAAAAACAACAGGTGGTAGCATTAACTCTGCCTCTGAGGCACGGTCTACTTTTTCATTGCATGGTATTGCCATATGCCCGGGAACCAACAAAATGAAGGAAATATCGTCGATATTTCTATTCCTACTACTTTGTAGTATGTAAAGAGAGTCTGAATAGATAACAGTTCTCATAACTTTGTTTTAATATGTACATGGGCGAGATAGATAGCCCAGTATCAAAAAGGCAGAGCATCGCTGACCCCGTTAGGATTAAGTTTAAACTTTTTTGAAGAATTACTGGGTGAATCCGAGTCTTCATGTATAGTTTATCCTTATTCCCTAACTGTGCCCAATTGATTTTTAGATTTATAAAAGTGTAGGCTATCTGAAAGATGTTGTTCTTTATTACAGGATATGACTTGCTATTTTTATCTTTTGTGAAAATATAAACATTAAAGATTTGTAGCATTCGTCTTTTTACCTTTTAGTTCGTTTAATGTTATTGTTATATGATAAAACATTACGAAGAAATTTACCCAATTTTGATGATGTAGATGATTTGGTAAATAACGTTAACGTTATTGTTTTCTCGCCACTAAATAACTTCTTTGTGTACCTCTGGGGTCTATGTCATTTTCAACAAAAACAGCTCTCAAGTTCGGAACTTCCGACTTAGTTAACAATTTTCTTTTCGGACCAGAAAACAAATATTTCAGCTTGTTTCATAATCTTGGTAAAAATGGTTATTTTGGTTAAAAGAAAATCCCACAGCTGCTCTCTTGTAAGATGTGTAAGAAAAGGTTAAAAACCTCAGTACTATTACCGTTTCATGAAAGATAATCACCTATTTTAAGAACAGTTGTTGAGACAAAAAACAACAAAGACTGATATTCAAGAACGCATGGAGAATAATATGTGAAAATGAATGAAAATGTAAAGAATATAGACTGACGCCTAAATCAGAAAATTAAGTAAAGTAACAAATTGATTTTATTCTAACATTAAGTTATATACTTACAATATTTGTAACATGACAATTGCAAAGTAGGGTACTAACAAAACATAGCAGATCAACCTTACCTGTAGATTTCGACATCTTAGTGCTTCCCACCTTTGGCAGTCATCAACAGGCAGCCATTATTTCTGCAAGAAACAAACATGATATAAGGTTTATTTAGCATGAATTATTCATTGTTGAGCATGAACCACTCCGTGACCACAAATATGCAGATGTTTTCGTCATTCCGGACGTTAGAATAGAATTAGGGAGCAGTCTCAATCTTGATAATATACTACGCAGTATCAAGATGTGTAATGAAGTACAAAGCAAAGCGATAGGCTCGCTGTGCCAACAATCAAATTTATTTGAATATCATTATCATTACATTCAACACATAAAAGGTTATTAGGGCCATCAAACGGTAACAAACACTGCGATCCAAAAAGAAATAACATTAAATAGTGAAGTATTATTACAAAAAAAATAGGATGGGAAATTTTAAGGTTGTTAATATGACATCAAACAGTGCTCAAAATGACACGATTATAAGGTGATTTAATCTTTAAACGACATCATATGTATAACAAAGACGCAATTTAAGTCCAACATTGCATAATGTATGAAGGAAAAATCTGTTTTATGGGTTTAAAATAATATTTATTTCAATTTTACTATTTTGGCTTTACAAGTGGTTTAATGGAGTATAAAAGCAACAGGTAGCGACAGTGTGTCCTCTTCAAAGGCTTGAATTGATCAAGAAAACCGCCGCTCCTATGAACCCAGCAAAAACCAAAACGGTTTCATGATTTATCCGCGACTGTCCATGTTTTTGCAAGTTCACTGGTAATACATTTTGTGTACGTTGATGAATTTGTATCCAGGACTACTAACATAACATTAATTTTATGACCTTTCACACCTTCTGTAAAATAAAATCGTTATAATCGTGACTAATTTCCCCAAGGATGTAGAATAGAAAGTTTAATTATAAAAAAAAATAACAAAAAAAAAAAGTCTTTACGTTCTTTCGTTGTAGATATTCTAACGTGATAAGGAATTGGAAGGCATTTGCACACCATACTATTGGAACATAGCATGATCGTGTACCATTGAAATTAGTTAATTGTACTATGAGTATTTGTTTCCTAATTCAGCCACTCTTTCATAGAAAATATACGGAATGAAATAATAATGATATATACATATGCAGCCATCTGTGATGTATGCTGGTAAATAGTTTCAACTATAGGAATGTACAGCCTACATCGATAGTCGATATTCGTATACAAGTCGACTTGAAGGTCGTTTTGAACAATATATTACAATGTAGTGGTGACTTGCATAAACTTTCAAAACATGTTTATGGATTGTCATGTCCAGTGTAAAAACCTTCCACCTGATGACTGACGAAGCATAAAAGATCAGTCTTAGGATTACATTCACATTTTAAGGATGGTTCCTGATGCAGGTAAGTTTTTGTATTATTTCATATTTACATTAAATCGAGCAAAAGTAATTATCAAACCATCCTTAATTTCTTAGCGATACAGCCTTCAATTATTCATGACAATTTTAAGTAGAAATTAACTGCAGTATTCATTACTAAGATATGTTACCGGGCATGCAGTTCCTTTTCAGTTACAAGCCTTATGTATAGAAATGAGTGAACAAGATAATCATTATTAATACTTTTGTAATTGTAAGCTAACCAGTAATATCTATTTGTATATTAGAGTTTATTGGTGATTTAGAGACCTATAATATGTTTACCATCTAGTCCCACTATTTTCGACATTATTATTCTTCTATTGATTGTGTTATAAGAACTTCCATTCTATCGACATTACAAACCTTATAACCTCTTTGATGCGTTTTAGTCTATGCTTGTATTTGCAACATAGCAATACTTGTTTGTGATAACTCTAATGGAAATATGTTACCAATCATCATGATAACTCTCCACCGATTTCCTTACCCATGTAAACGAGTTCTGAAGGCTGGGTTATATTGGCATTCATACACCTTTTATAGAACTATCATGAGGTATCTTGCAACATACATGAGAGGAATGTCGATACGAATACGGTCTCACGAAGGTTGTTTCCTGTGGTGACGAGGGCATTTTATAGTACTGTCACAGTCAAATTTGACCTAATTGATAAATTTAAATAGGATTTGAAATCTTTGCCTTCTACTTATTCTTGGTATGTTTTCATTACATTCATCCTGGGTGTAAATAAACAAATGACGATTTTTTCAGATAATATTCCGCTGATCAATGACGACAGCAGAGAACACAAAGTTACATTGAAGGAAAGACTAACATCATGCAGATGGCACGTTGGATATGTGACATGCTTAACACTGGCATGTACCATGCTTCTGCGTATAAATATGAGCATGGTCGTTGTGTGCATGAATCCCCCAAATATGACTTCACTTGTCGTTGTCAATGGAACAAATTACACAGTTGTGGATGATTATATGGTAATAAGTATCTCTAAATTGTCTCTCCCGATATACAATACTGAAGAATAACGGATCATTTGTACTTTTGATTTCTAATGGTTTGAATTGTTTCAAGTCAGGAGGGTGTAATGTTGATCAAATTGGTTGGCTAATCGCATCTGAAGTAATGAAATTCGGTGAGTGCTTGTGTTTCCATGAGGCTGTGCTATGTTTATGTAAACCAATGTGATTACGCGAAACTGATGCTAGCTTTACAGTAACGCCGTTATATTGGCTCAAGACCATCAACCGGTAATCAACATACAGCGATCCAAATGGAAATAACATTAAACAAACTAAGATAAAAGACAAAAGCTTAAAATCTTAAATGGTTATATTATCACAAAATATTAGAATGGTACATCATAGTCTATTGCATAGACCAACATCTTTCAGGTAACCTAGAATTTTTACAAAACTCAACAGTTTCAAAAGAGTTTTTATACTTGTAATGTTACGATAAAGACATTCTCGAGTAGACAGAAGGTCAATGCACTCCAATAAAAAAAATGTTAAACGGTGAATGACTCATCGCACCATATGCTACGAGGGTTATATTCGCCTTTCATCATTAATAAATGTGTAAGGTATGTATGGTCCATCGGAGACGGGCAAGGACAACGTCGGCTGGGTGATTGTCTCTATTGTATGGAGACCATTCTCCGATAATATGTTTTGCGGAGTTGTTGGTATATATATTCCATTCCTCATGCCACTTACCTTTTAAAATTTATTTAATAAATGGTTTAAAATCATTAAAATGAAGTTGGAAAACAAAAAGGTGGTAGCGATAAAGCCTAGGTTGATAAAAGATGTTGGGAAGTTTTATGGTCGCCATAGTGATCATATTGAACGATATGAAGCTTGACAGATTTGCTATATTAAACCTTATTTTGATTAAAGAACACAAAAAGCGTGCAGTTCTATCTATAACACTCCATATATTCCCTAGTTTAAATACATTACAGTATTTTCTTTGTCGATGAGCCAATAAGAATACAATTTTGTATCTAGTTCTGGTTCTGTTACTACTCATCAGACGTGTAGTCTCGAATAATCTTTCTTAAAACACGGACATTCAAATGAAACTCGTTAGTTCAATTCATTTGTTGCAAATATTCAAATTTTGTTCTTTTCTCAACTGATTTAGAAATATTACGTCGAATGGGATAGTACTATGGAAGGTCTACTCATTTCCGGAAACTACATAGGCCAGATGATAACAGCTCTTGTCCTCGGAACAATGTCTGGGCGGTACAGCAGCAAATACATCATTGCCAGCATGATATCCGTCATGGCTGTATCGTCAGTGTTAACACCTGCTTTTGTTTTTGTCAGTGACTACATCGTTCTTGTCCTACGAATAATTGTAGGCATGGCAACGGTTAGTATACTTAGATATGTTCCATTTCAGTATACTTAAGTTTGTTTTCCTTAAGAATTTGACTTCCTTTTAGTTTTAGACATTTGTACCCGTTTCATGGTCGAAAAGGGAACTTCGCAAACATCCTTTCTCAACTTTTGCCAAATGTATTTCTTGGCGTTTGCATTAAGATCTCGTCACTAGAGGGATACCATTATTACTTTCCAGTAACATTGTAAAATAAAGTCTTACCATCCGATCCAGAGGCACTGATTGGATCTTCTTCAAATGTGATATACGGTTTCTCAAGGTAATAAATTATCCAACGTCGATACTTTCCAGAAAACAAGTGGCTATTCTGGATTTTGAAAGGGATCGTACCGGTATTGATTTATGCACTGCATGAACCTTTCTAGAAGTTCATTGTTCGAAGATTTCAATTATGAGAGGGATCTGAAAAAATACCAGCAGATTTGTCGCCATCATTTTTGAAAGTTAAAGTTAGATTTGTTCGAATTCAATTTTTTAAAAGTCCATACAATGACCGGCCCTAGTAGTGCCTGAAATTTGGCGAAATAAAGCTGATAGGTGACCATCTGTATTTTAAAGGATATAATATTATTAATTCAGCTGTTTATGCAAAAAAGGTATTTTATATCAAAGAGAGCGGAAAAGGAGAAGTTTGTTTGCTTTGGTTTTTTTCCCCTTTCGTTTATGTACTTGCCAACTTTGAAGGGTCAACAATAGAGATATTGCTGTGGCTGTACTTCAAGACAAAGACAAATCCGTGTTTGTTTCCATTCGATTTAAGATCAGTTCAAGATGGCCGGGAAGTACTTGATAATCCATGTTTTAGTATTAATGAGTCTAGACTGCGTGTCCATATTATAACCCGCCGTAGGTAGTTCTCTTCGTAAGATATTGACATTAATTCCACCTTTTAAATAATTAATTCTCTATTTACATCCGAAAAACACCATGTGAATTTGAAAGTTATTTTGGCATAATGTCCACAACATAATTCACATTGCAAGTTTGTATATTTTACCTAAAGTCCGGATTGGAGCCATGCGCGACTCAGCTACTTTCTAACTGGGCGCCACTTAACGAAAGGGCTCAAATGATGGTTCTTGTAGAAACAGGTATGTATGAGAAGAGGAAAAATATGCACGTCGGTTTATAGACACTGCTGTTCACTCCCTGTATCTTCAAACTTTTCATGAATTAACATTTCCTTTTCGTACTTTTCAACAAATCGCAACTTTAAACAACTATGAAATTAGTGATTTGATCATTTGTTAAACATGAAAATAACAATTTATGACCAGATTTAAGTATTAAAAGGGCACGACAAGGGCTCGATTCGCCCGATCGTTTGTTTCCGTTCATTTCGGCGAATGTAGAGTTGTGCTGGGGTGAATCAATGTCCCTTTGTCTGATGTACAACAGATTGTAGGAGAAATTGGGGATAAATCCGTTAAAACAATTATATATCAAGTTTAGTCAATATTAAATACATCTAAATATAGTTGATGATTTTTCATTTTCCTAGCGCGGAGTTTAGGAGGAATGATGAATTATATCCTCGCAGGATTGCTTTGCTCCATTCCATTGTTTGGAGGCTGGCCATTCATTTTCTTCGTCTTTAGTATGTACGAATCTCTATCATTTGACACATATTTTCATAACGTATACTTGCTTAAGATAAGAGGTTGTTTCTTTCAATCTATATATCTACCAAAAGGCTTTGAAACATTTGTCGACTGTGTACTTATACATTCTATGTGGCCTTGTAGTCAATAATTTATTCCTTTAGTTATTTAAACTCTATTTTCAATTGTTGTTTTGTTGTCCGTTCTATCCAATGACAAAATGACTCAGTTCTGTCGCGTTCTACACCAAGTCAAAACAGCTAAGCAACACCAATTTGTATGACTGCTTTCTTTCATTTTCTTTTGTGAAAAGGTGGACTTAATCTGTTGGTATTGATTTTATGGGCTTGTCTGGTTTATGATGCTCCAAGTATTCACCCCAGGATATCGACTACAGAAAAGAATTACATACACTTACACAAGGCCTCTGTTGCACAGAACAAGGTACGATGGTCTTGAAAATACTCCATCTGGCGCAATGATGTATCAGATGACTTCATGAATATAAGGATTTTTCAGTGAAAAGAGGACAGTGCATTTCATTCTTCTGTATAGAATCACCGTGAATTCTTCAATGTTTTTGATTTAGAGAATATCTCCAAATATAATGTTGGTCATGCTGGTGAGGTAGCGTTTTATGACGGTAGGTTGAAATACAGTAGAATGGCTTCATCTTTCATATAGGCATCACTGCATTCGTGAAATCATATATCCCATGAAAATTAGTCGTATTTTACATCGATTTAATAAACGTATCGTTAAATACAGTTATATTTTAAAGTCTACACCGTATGAACCGTTTTCTAATTCCATATGTACACCTCACTAACGCCTCTGTTATGTATTACGTTTATTGTTATAATAAATAACTCGAGGGGGGAGGGGGAAACACGTCAAAATCCTGCTATGACCTCTTGCTACGTATTACTCATCCTTCAGGAAAACACTTTAAGTGGGGGCAAGTATTGTTGTTAATTTATTAGAAATAACATTTTGTTTTCCCAGACATTGCATATCCCGTGGTTGCAAGTGATATCGTCAAAGGCTGTGTGGGGATGTGTGCTTGGATTTCTAACTTATGGATTTCTTTTTATTAGCCTTGCCATTTGTCTACCATTGTATTTTGAACAAGTACTGGAGCTCGATTCGACGTTGGTACGTAATTCACTTATTATCGACATTAACAGCTGTTAGCTGATTAGCCCCTGACGATATTGCGTTTCGTTCGTACGTATGTTATTTTATGTCATCTCTATAGCAGTTTCATTTCTCAACCGATTTTAATCACATATTGATCAATTATCACAATGTCTTGAACGACTTTGTGTTTCAGTGTAATAGGGTCAAAGTTGAGGTCACCTCGTGTCTTGATATACCAAAGTAAATAGAATATATTTATTTTAGTTTGAACTACAATTAAACGTAACTTGCTGTTTTACCCAGAACGGTATTCCGATGGCATCTCTGAAATTGAAAGGGCATATCCCTTGAGGCACAAGCGGAAGAATGTCCTTTTATTTTTATCTTGTACCAATCTACACTCGTTTAAACCATTGTACGTCTCTACGCATGTTCAACCTTCGCCTTTGTTTAATCCACATGACCGACAATTTGACGGAACTGATTTAACTCAAAAAGAAGCTTGTAATCATTAAAATTGACTTGGCTGGATATCTTGCTACCCCGTGCCTTAGTGACCAACTATCGGAAGACACGTCTTCATATGACCCTGAGAGTGAGGAGTTAGATTTATAAGCGGAGCAAGCATGTTCGTTCACGCGAGTGTGATTTAAATACATCGGGAATTACAATTATTACGGAATCTCAAATGTTGTGAGATACAGCGTATTCTTTGCTATTTCAAAATGCTATCTTATTAGCTATTCAAGACGTACTCTTACTGATGATGTTTTTTCTGAAAGGTTTGGCTTTAAACAGTCATTTAAAAGCAGAAACTCAAGATGTTTCCTCACAGCGTTTTTATGCTAACGTTGTCAGAGTATGGTGCAACACGAAATAATTCAAATTATATATTATTCCTATTTTTTCTTCATGACAAGACTTACTATTTTCGATAACCTTTTTAAAAATAAATGTCCGTCTTTGATAACAAATTGGAATATGTAATTTGAGGTGATTTTCCATGCACGATTCAATTGAACTTTACCGAGATTCCTCAATTAAACTACGGACAACTACCTTAGCAAACAGAAAACATAAAAAAATGTTCACGCTATCAACCGAATCACGCCGTCAAAAAAGTAGTTCACTGGTGAGATTTCTTCAAAACGTCATAAAAATACTATAGACAACAAAGTGTAGTAAAACACAAAAGGACAAGGTATTGAGTTGGAATACATTAAGTATTAAAGAACGTCTTACTTTGATTCAACGGAATATGTCATTGATGAAATGCATATTGGTAAACAATATACCAATTTAAATTATGTATTATTACCCGTTGTTAAAATATACTTGACGGTATTCTTTAAATATGGTCAAACTTTGAAACTGTATGATCCCGATTTTTGTAGGAAAAGCAAGACAAATGGTTGTAGTTTCATATTGTTGAACGTCCTAGGTGTCCCTATGAAAGCGAAATGTTTCATGTGTTGCATGCGTGTAGGGTAATTCAGCATTAACATTGTGAATGCACATTGGCAAATCTAATGGGGACCTATAACACCTTTAATAATACTGATTTTATCAATATATTGCATGGCATTTCAAAATATTTATTCAACAGAAAAGCACGCAAATTCCGATTTTAGAATGGTTTTGCATCGGCCCTTCCTTTCCTCGGGCGAATAGTTGGTGCCATCATCTTTGGTTATATAGCTGATTGGATCTTCTGTAAGCAATGGCTGTCCATTACAAACTTGAGGAAGGTGTTCCAGGTAACAGGTAGGAAGGGGGTATGTTCCCCGTTTACGCAGCTTTAAAATCAAGAAATCAGAATATCTACTACCATCCTTTGTCACTGTACTATTTATCCGTTGTTAAAAAAAAGCTGGTTATTATTTTCTAACTACGTGTGAATTCAAAGAAAGAAAAGAAGTTCGATAAGTGAATATAAGCACTGGACTGCTGTCAGATGGCATTCATGTACAGTCTAACCTGCATTAAACGGCCACTGTTGGGAAATTATGAAAGTGGCCTTTATAGAGAGGTGGCCTCTTAATTGAGGTTCCTTATTTTCGAACCCAAGTTGCGGCAATTTGAACATTGATATTTGAATACAGCTTAATAATAAGATATAAAACATCATCTGTTATTATTTATTATCTTGTTAACAAGTAATATGAAGACAGACCAATCTTTATTTTATGACACAACTATAAATACAAAAGAACAAAATTGAAAGGAAGGCATGTACAAGTTTTAATGAAGCTATTGAAAAAAGAGCGGATGTCCGATTGTTTCGAACGGCTGTCAATACATTAATTTGCTATCAGATTGTCAATCTCCATAAGACAAGACAGAATATCACATTTGCCACCCCCCCCCCCCCCCTCTGTATTGTAAACTTTTTCATTTTCATTATCCCAATTGGTAAAACTCTATCATCGCAGGTTGTGACATTTTCGTTGAAGTGATTTGCCATAATAGTGATAATATGCCTGTATTTTAAACCAGTGATGTAAATGAAATCAAACTCAATATAAAATGCATAGTGAATTGTGTTAACGTGTCAACAGCTGTTTTCTTTGTAGGAATGTTTATGTGGCGAGAAAACGTGACTCGCAGTCAGGAAAGCTTGTCAAATGACTTGTGGTCAAAACGGCCGTTTAAATGAGGTTCGAACGCGAGTTTGGGGACGAAAAGGGTGGCCGCTGGCCGCATTAGACAGGTGGCCGTTAAATTAGGTATCATTAATGTGTAAAAACGATTGGGAGGGTCTGAAAACGGCCGTTATAAGCAGGTGGCCGTCTAACTAAGGTAGCCGTTAAGACAGGTTACACTGTATTTATGATTGCCAACTGCTCAAGCATGAACCACAACCTCTTAAATTAATTTCGTTGTCTTGGTTATTTCTGTATGTATTTTTCATCAAGAAGATGTGTTAACGCATAATAACTAAATTATCAGATGTGATAGACCCTTGCCATTTGATCTGAAATATTACTATCATATAGAATTTTACATTTTAAAATCTTGTTTGAATGTTTTGCGATTTTATACACCTTAGCGACTTCATCTCAACGTCCTTGAAGTAGAAAATTAATCAAAGATCATATTACTAATTGGCAAGCACTTCCAGATAAATAACAGCTACTTTGGACAGAATATTCATCTTGAAATTAGAGTCAAACAATAATTAAACTGCATTAAACAACTGTTTAGTCCTTCTATGACTCAATAGTGATGATACGGGCCTACAATGTGAAGCCTACGAGAGCCTCTATTGAGCATATGAATGTGGCCAGTTCCATTTCTGATAGTTTCCGAGTACCAAAGTAATTAAAACGTGGCATGCAGGTTACGGCATTTAATATTCATATACTGAAGGATTGATTGGCTCTGCTCCATTCCTTATATGGATAACATATCTGGGAAAGGATGACGCAATTCTAGCAGTGGTCCTCATGGTCGTTTACTGGTTCATTCTCACTGCCATGAACTCTGGTTTTCGGGTCAACTTCGCAGACATCGCTCCAAGGTATTCAGTTTTATGTCTACAATGATTCATAATCATATCATAATCCTAACGATTTTATCAATGTCGGGGTAACCTTATGAACTTCATCACTGCTGGGACATATTGGGACAATGTGACTTCAAATGAACCTATTTTGAAAACTGATCTTTGTATGATATGAAGTTAGGCGTGTTTGATGTTCATTAGTTTGCTAGATGGTCTAGTCGTTGTATACCTTGTTCTTATTTGCGAATGTGACATTACTTACTTGGATTGAAGACTAACAGGGCATTGTTGATTAAGTTGAAGACGTTTACATTTGGGTACATCTTGTCTAAGCACCCTTATATCTTTCAGGAATCTTTGTATAGGTCATACATGTATCTTGCCCCAGTTTTAAAGAAAATGATCACTCAATTTTCGTCCAGCAAGTCACATTATCAAACTATTAATTCACTGTGACGGGGTCACAGCGTTCAAAGTATTGATTGCAATCACCAATCCTATCTCGCTTCTGTCCCTCTTAATATTAAAATTTACATTTATTTTGTAAAGGGAATTCATGTTAGAATATTTAATTTGTCTATAAGATATAATCTGTCAATATAATTCCACGTGTCTTTATTTGACAGATACGCTGGGTTGTTAAATGGAATATGCATGTGTCTAAATGGTTTCATATCGATATTTGTTCCCATTATTGTGACAGCAATTACTCCAAACGTGAGTATATCAAGCATTTTGTTGAAATAAGCCTTGAATATAATCAGAAATTGAATGCGTTATGGTACTTGGAAAATAAATTTAAAAAAATAAGTCAAATTTCATTCTAGGTGTCGAATTTGATATCTTTGGAGCATATCCAATAAAATATTTACATTTCAAGAAATGTTTTGTCCGATGAATGCTCGTACAGCTTCAAATCAGAGTTAAAGTTATCACTTTTCACATGATTAATCTGTCTTACCCCGATAACTATTGCACTTTTTGGTTGAAACTTCTTAAGGTATTTAAGGATAGCAGAATGAAAAGCAAAAGTATATAAAATATTGTACTCCCAAAGAAGCTTCACATAAATTTTGGTTGTATGCATTCAAGAGGAGTTTGCCTTTGAAGTCAAACCTCATCCCTCACCAAGTTTATGTTAGGACTCGACTACGCGCGTTAAAGACTTTATTTGATAGGAATTATTGTTCGATGAAAAATAAAACAATGACGGACGTTGTGTCTAAGTCCTCTTGCCGTAGGTGTGAAATAATGAATTCTGAATTGGACATCGAAAACAGGTTTGATTCGTTTTTGATTTTAGGGTACTAAAGAGGAATGGAGAGCTGTATTTTATGGCTGTGTCGGGGTGTCTGTGGTCGGAGCAGTTGTATTTGTTGTGTTAGCAAGTGGAGAGGAACAAGAATGGGCGAAAGATCAGACTTCTGATAGTAATTTGGCCATTACAGACGCCGGTAACAAGAGCATAGATTTTAATCCATCCACGACAACTGATGAGTCAGCGCCACTTACATTTAACAGTAAACCTGATTCATATGTTAAATCTGAGGTATAACACATAACCCATTCACGAATAAACATGTTGCTTTATTGAAAATGCACCAACTAACTTACGTTTTCATTTCACTGTTACTTTAACATCTAGGACCAAAAACTTCCCCGAAATATATTTCTTTATCGTTCCTTCTTCCAGGATGTTTCGGAACATGAAAAAGTCGAGTTGGTACTTTCAACCAAGAAAACAAACAACATTTTGTGTTGGTTTAGATAATTGCAGTAACCGACTATAAAAAAATACTTGCTACGGTAGACTGATATTACATCAACATTGAATTGATTTCTAGGATATTATCAATATTTGCATTATTTACACAAATCAAATAGAGGCTTATTTGATGATTACTGTTATTATTGTTTAACTGTTTATATATGTCGAATCCCGTGTGCTTGATATGTTTACGTTACAGCTCGCGCCGACACATCGTCACACATCCTTGGGTAAGGTCCCTTTAATACTGGCTATGTACATGATTCCCGATATGGTAATACGATGGATACTTCTAGTATTTATACAATAGATGTATGGACAATGATATGCTGGGTTTTTATCATTTTCACTAATGGTACACATTATATATCAGTTGTGTTTAGCATTTATTGAAATATTACGCGACATCCATTGATTATCCAAGATACTTAAAACTAGAGATAATACGAAACATAAGTTTCAAGAAAATATACGATTATCTATCTATAACTTTTCAAATCATGGGTAGCGTGGCCGAGCGGTCTAAGGCGCTGGTTTTAGGCACCAGTCTCATTGAGGCGTGGGTTCGAATCCCACCGCTGCCATTACACAAAGCTTTTATTTGATTTTATTCCGTTAAATAGAATCTCTAAACTTTGTCGACGTTACATATGATACCTGTGTGGGATAAATGAAATTTAGCTGATGAAACAAAGAATTTATCAAGCGACATACATGTACACATGAGGTAGGTGTAATGTATGATAAAAATAATTACATCATTATTACATTTTTAACGACCCGTCACCTCATAAAAAGTCATTTGGGCCATTTATCAGTGAAACGGCGATCGAAAAGGAAATAACATCAAATAAACTAAAAGGTGAAAGACAAATGCTAAAAATCTTAAATGGTTATATTATCACAAAATATTAAGATGGAAAGTCATATCTTATAATATAGACAAACATCATTCAGATAACCTGAAATTTTATCAATCTCATCAATATCAAAATAGGTCTTTAGACTTGTAACGCTACAAAAAAAAAAAAAAAAAAAAAACTGGAGTAGACAGAAGGTCAATGCAGTTCAGTAAGAATGTTTAACGGTGAATAGCTCATCACATCCTATGCACCGCAGATTATCATCGCCTTTCAACATATATGAATGCGGAAGGTAGGTATGGCCCATCCGAAAACGGGAAAGGACAACGTCGTCTCGCTCTGTAATATATGATATGATTTACCATTTTTATCTTTGACAGGATTAAAAGAAAATACAGACGGGAAATATCTGACGCGATACACAAGAGGTAGGTGGAATAAATAATATCAAGCTGAATATGAAACAAATTTATCAAGCGACATACGCCTAAGGTAGGTGTAATGTATTAGGATTAAATGGAAATAAACCAGGAAAATACACGATATACTTCTGAGGCATGTGTTAGTAGATGAGGATTATATGAAGATGAAACAAGGGGAATATCTGACGACAATCGTAATATGAATCAGGGTAAGGCGATTATGTTTGTATATTGTGACATCAGTAAGGATTTGACAGCGTCAGGTTCCAAGATACCATGCATAAACTATAAAAAGTATGGTAGTGATTGAAACTTACTTGTAATCAAAAGTCAGGGTACCACAAGGATCAGTCTTAAGACCACTTCTTTTCTTTTTATATATAACTGATTTACTGAAAATATCGCTGCTAACATTAAGAAATTTAAGAAATGTAATTGTTGATAATAACCAAGGCCAAGCAGTACAGGAACTAATAACAGACCAAACAAATTTTGATGAACGGGCAAATATATAGGATATTAAATCTACTCATTACAAAACTAATTCAGTTGCATTTCCGGAAAGCACAACACTCACTGCCCTCGATAAATTTTACAAATAATACATCATGGAAATAACATTCAGAATATTGTGATGAAAAAGCCTTCCATACACTCACTATTTTCCGCCATTTACATATCTCCATTTACACTTTATTTACTAGACCAATTCTTGTAAATGCAGACAAAGTATAGGGGTATTTGCACTTAACAGTCAAAAGCTTTGCGGCAGCAATTTAATCTGCTTCAGATTCTTATCTACAGACTGATCGCATGGAGATAACTAATTGCCGAAGTAGGGGTAGAGTTAAGGGGCAGACGTCCGCCCAGCCTCTCGTTACTGCCCCTTCACGTATTTTTGCTTACTTTAACAAATTGTGTCGTGTCCTGTTGAACCCGTGGTTTATGTTCATGAGGTATACCACTCGTGTATGTAGATATTGTGTAAGTTGTGTATTGTGTGAATTTCCTTGTAGTGACGTATATGATATAGATTGAACTGGTTGGTCTGATAGGAAAGGCCATTTATATGGCAAATAATAAGGACCCGATGGTTTGGAAACACAGCGTAGCGGAGGTATAAGTTCTCAAGGTATTGCTGGCAATAGTGATTTTAAGCAGTCATTCAACTTCAATCTTTATATCTTCCACAGATGGGCAGGTATTTGTGCAGCAGCTAGAGCTACTCGATGACATCTGGTCGCTGGTTGCAGGAAACTGAATCAGATCTATCATTGTGTTTACCTAGAATGTGATCAGCTCTAATATTAAAATTTAGATAGTATGTTAACATAACTAAATGCCGAATAATAATAGATAAATGATAATAATTGTCACAACAGCAAGATCTCCACATTGGAACAAAATTTTCGATTCTTCATTTCACAACCACAGGTATCAAGAGGGACATTAAGAGTGAAAGAAACAACACACAGGAAACAGCAAAAATTTAATATCCAAAGTATTTCAATGCAGATCTGTTTCAGTCTCTTCGTATTCCCTTAATAAGATATGAATGATTTGTCCCCGACTCCGGTCATTGTCAAACATTTAATCGCTTGCTATATTCACAGAGTTGAATTGGGCTATGCGATGTCCCCTGGATAAATATATCGGAGATGCCAGCCCCATCCTGCAAAGATTGCCCCACAATTTGTGGCCCCAAACAACATGCAATGAATACAACAGTCATACTTCTTCCGCAGTTACAAGAGTTTTATCTCTCTATTTGTAAGCCCGGAGACGAATCCAATTCCACACAAAACACAAATAATCATATACACTTTTATTACATGAACCAACACAAAATAAAACTGCAAATTGCAGTTCATTATCAATATATGAATAAATAAAAAAAGCAATCAAGGAAAAATAAAGACCGAAAAAACATCAACGTAGGGTAATCTTCTAATAAACATTTCTGGAATGAATATGTTAAGGAATGCTTATTCTTAAAATTCTTGCTTAACATTTTTTTTCAGGAATATCAATTTCACAACACATAAGCAATGAGTATTTCTTAGATTTATGGTAAGGCGAGGTTATATATTGTATCAAAGTTTTACCTTAATATCTAAAAATCCGATAAATTGTCCAGTTAATAACTATTGTGTATGTATTTATTGACGGATTTGGCGAATTGTGATCCAAAGAAAACATATAGAACTACCGATAAAATCTGGCATATCTTTGAGATCATGTAACATTACAAATGAGTAGATTCTGATACCGTGTCATTGTTACCAAGAAAAATGGAGAGATTTTTACTGTTCTTGTTCTTTACTGTTTTAGTAACGTCGATCTGTGAAACACTTGTGTCAGAAGTAACATCATACGCTTTTGTTTGGCTGTATATGCCATTCAGGTGTAAATCTGGTTGTGCCTCTACTGTCTCCTCGATTCCCATCATTGTATGACTGGTTTTATCATCATGATGAACATTCGATTCATTACCAATATCCAGTGTTGCATTTTCAAATCCATAACTTGCAAAGGAAAACGTTGGGCTTGACGGGGATGCAGTTTTTAAATTCCGTTGATCTTCCGAATAGAAACCATTCATTTTGCAGCCTAATGGTTTCATATTGTTGTCTGTACAAATACCAGGAATAGCTGACTCGTTTTCAAAAGGCAACTGTTCTTTTCCTAAAGAGGCAAAATCGTTCTTATCGTTTTCTTGTGGATTTATTGTGGTGTCTGATGACAAACTAACCAGAGATTTTCTACGATTTCCACCCAAAGTAAAGGTTGCTGACGTGCCATTAAAATTTTCATTGGATGACTCCATATCTATAGAATGTATATTAACATCGATGTCAAAATTTGGATCTTTTGCCCATTTTTGCTCCTCTCCTGATCCTAGTACACTAAAGACAAAGGCACTAAACACACCGAGTCCGGCGCATATGAAAAATACAATTTGCCATTCCTGTCGTGTACCCTGTAGGAAAACGATAAACACAACAAACATTTAATAGCTAATTTAAATGAGAATGAAAGGAAATTAAATAAGAAAAAAACAAAACTCTACATAGTCTATTGAAGATCATATATTCGTGTGCATATTACGTAACAAGAGATCACAGAGGGATCCCGGCACCTACCAATGTTTAATCTGTAGTTGTTCTTTAAACTTTTGATCGTTTCCTCCGCTTTTGTTTTTAATTAAATAAAATTCGAATCTTCGTGATAATCTTTAAATGTTTAACCTAAAATGATAGCCAGTCATCCATATTGTTTTTCTGATCAGTCCCGCAATCAAAAGGTAAAAACTAGGGAGAAGTTTGATAGATTCTAGTAATACTCAAGAAATATCGATAACATTCAGAATGACCGCTTGTCGGCCATTTTGTTTGTCGCAACAGTCCCAAAATGTCAGAACCTGCATATAACATTTGAGAAAGACTAATCTTCTGATGATAGCGATAAAAAGATCAGATTAAAAACTGACAGAGGCCTAAAGACGATATATTAACAGCCCATCATCTCATTATGGTGGGAACAAAACCTGAACATGATCTTCAATGACAATATAATTCACAAATGTATTTAAGATGTGTATATTTTCCCACGCAATAAACAGCATTTTATCTTAAACGGTAGTACCTTAATTTGTGATAGGATGTGATACATGATCAAACGGAGAGACAAAAATGCTGTGCATTTGTTCTGTATCCCCAATGCAGGTGATGCAACGCTATGACTGCCGAAAGTTATGGCTGGTAAAATATACTGACGAATACTAACTATAGCACCGATTTACTTACGTTAACGGTGATAGCTGCCGTTACCACTGGTGCTGCCAGAGCTGCTATGGAAGCACAAGTCAGTGTTATACCATTAATGACCCCTGCAAATCTGTAAGAATACAATACAAAATATTTTCACTATAGTATTTACTTGGATATTAATATTAGGGTTTTAAGACTTGTTCGATTGACCTTTTAGTTGGTCTTCCATTATCTAACGAATGTTCTTCAGAGGGTAAAAGTCCGTCCGTCCGTCCGTTCCAAGATGGAAGACGTCAATAAAGGAAGGAAAGAAAAAAGATTATATTCATACAAATAAAGGTCTCGTTATGTAATCGATTGCAACACCAATAAGTACATTACGACAGTGTCCCCAAATGGTAAGGCTACATAATGGGTTTTGTATATGTATAGTTTTTATAACAATTTTTACCAGTGCTCGTCATAGACAATTTTATTTGTAAACATTATTATATTATACTGACTGTTAAGAGGATGACATAACGTCTCTAACAAATCAAATTATCTTGATGTGATGGCATGACACAAAATACGGTCATATAATTGCAACAGCATTGCTACACAGAGAGTATTACGCGGAAATTGAGAGACAAACACGGTATATAGGACTTGACCTAAAATCTTGGAATTATTCGTAAATGTATTTCGTTAGAGAATGCTTACTTGCAACATCCTCAAGTTAAAAGCAATAGTTTTAACATTTTCTAGTATATATTCGTAACAAGTATATTATATCCCCTCGATGTTACCACTGCGTGATACATTGGTGAAAACCCATGTGAAAAAATTAATTGATATTTTCCAATATATATAGATATATATAAACTTTTAGTTTTCTTTATTTTCAGTTGGGATAATGTCATTTCAGTCACTATCAGGTGAAAATCAAGTCAAAAGTAGGCACTATGGACATCTTCAGATATTTATGTCCAAAGCATTATCTTCAAAGCTTTTAAATCTAAACATAATACCATGGTGTAAACTTTATATACATACGAAGGCAGACACTTCGTATAGGTTCAAGTTATTTTTACACCCTAAATTATGTTATAGAAGGTATCAGTTAATCAGAATCCAAACATTGTCAGCCATTTTAAATTACGTCACAAGCCATGCATGTTACAAAACTGAGGTCCGTCATGAATACGCACATGGGATTGTAATACAGTCCTATCTGCAGCTTCTGATAAAACCCGAACAAGTATTTAAGATACAAAGTATTTCAATAAACCCCCTTGGTACCCCTGCCTCTTAAGAAAGGCATAAGCCAATCATATGACCGAAGCAAAAAATCTGCGAAAAAAATAATTCTTTCATATTTAAATGGGCCAACATTTTTCATAATCAAATATTGTCCATGGATATGCATTCTCTAATGTATGATATTAAACACTATAAATCATCATGCTATGAGCATTGGCTAAAGAAACGTTTTTCTTATCGATAACGGTATGCTTTTTGAAATTCTTATTCTTTACGACCTACTAACACATCAAAAGATGGTCATTTCGGATTTAGCTCGTATACCTACAGTGGTGCTATATCGAGATGGTTGACACGAAATGCAGCATTTGTTGCGGATTGCATCGTCCAATAGCAAACCAAAAGCACAACAGCTAGTGTCCTTTTCTCCTCTGTCATATAACTCAGTGCAATGAGAAATGGTGCAGATCCTAGCATTCCTTTATGAAATTGAACAAAAAATCGAAGTAAGACATTTTAAAACAGCCCATCACCTTAATCAGATTCGCCTCGAGAGTATTTGTTCTAATTCATTCTATACATGTACATCTGAAATAGTAAACTGCACTAAACGATATTTTCTTTTGTGCTGTCAGCTTAATTGACGACTTTATTTACATCTTAGTAGAAATTGTTACCGTATAGCCCATAATTTTTACGGGTCAAAATTTTCGCGATTTTTTTCTCAAACGATTTAGGTGTAAAAACACATCTATAAACAGTCTCATTTGTTGATGGATATGTTCGCGATCATGTTAATTTACCGCGAAAAAAATACTATCCCTGCAAAAATTACCGGCTATACGGTAGGCCTGCCCGCGCCAAATCTTACAGTTGATCATCAAAATGATATGTCGAAAACAAAGAAATAAGACGTAAAAATGAAGAAGATATCGATATTTCGGAATTAATCCTACATATTCCTTTTAATTCGAAGAAGACCTAATACTATACCGAATTTAAACCATGACATGATTAATTCATAAAGACATAGATTGAAGTCTTCAATCTCTTAATGTTATGATTCAGCTTGGCTATAACCGAATCACCTATCAACCTTGTGATTTCATCAATAAATTACAATTGACGTACCAATACACTGAAGAAGTTTTCTCATCGTTCCTGTTGAAAAAAATTTCCTTTCCAAACATTTGTCGGCTATAATTCCAACAGAAAATGACCCCAAAAATCTCCCAATGAAAGGTAAAGA